AGTATAAATAAAAAGCAAAATAAAAGTTAGATAAGAGGAAACAGGCTGACAGATCTTCAGCAAAAGGGAAGGGGATTAAGGATGGCAGGATGAGGAAAGGGAAGGGGATGGAAGAAGGATTAAGACGTGTCATGTTCATGTTCAACTCCCCATGAGGGGTGTAATCGTTTTGTACTGCAAACATGCACTGATTAAAAAAACAAAACAAAACAAAACAAAAAACTTAAAAAGTGCATGAAAAAAATCCCCTTACAAAGAAAGAAAAATGAAACAAAAACAGGCTAAAGAAAACACGGAATCTCTGAGAAGTGATAGTGGCCAGGAGACAGGATGCAGAGAACAGAGACAATAAGAGGAAGTGAAGCAAGTGAACACCCTGCAAACGAAGGCCCTGCACAAACAAAGCGGGCCAGGGGCTCCTTAGCCAAAGTGGGAGGCTGCCTGCAGACTCTGTTCCTATTTGTAGCAACCTTTCACACACACCCATTAAGGATTAAACCACTCCTCAGAGTTCATGAGGAGATGCAGCAGTCCCACCCTCTTCCCCTGTGCACTCAGGGACGGCCTCCAGAGCTGTCCCTTAGCTTTTCCCTTCCGGACCTATTTCCATCACAGCAGGTGAGAACGCATCCGTCCCCTCCCCCAGGCGTCCCCTCCCCACACAGCATATCATGATTCCAATTAGAGACACAGTCCATGTTTACACACATTATCATCTCCGTGGAGAGACTATTCACAGCTGAGCCTTCGAGTACATTATAATTATTTTTCTTTTCTTGCAGAACAGTTTATTTTCCCGGGATTTAATAACAGCCTGTGTCTTTGTTTGCTTTGTTTTCTGTGCACTTAGCACTAATCCAGCTCTAACTCTACCAACTGTCTCCATCTCCTCTGCAGATGTTCCAGAGCATCAGGTGTCCTGTTACAATTTCATCTTCTCCTCCCCAAAATCTCTCCAAGGAGGCTACCCATGGCTCACGTCAGGAATGCTGGCCCTCAGGGCCTGGCTGCCCCCTCCCAGGCTCACTACCTCATGTCACCAGTCACCTCTTTAAAGCTCAGAAGGGCAAACTGGGGGTGGGGGTAAGGGGTGGCGCCTACTCTACCTCCTGTGCTCAGGTGTGGAGCTCAAGGCTGACAATGTTTCTCTTCGGAATTTTATTTATTTTATTTTATTTTTTTGGTTTTTCTCCGGTACCGGGAACCGAACTCACGACCTTGCGCTTGCCAGGCAGGTGCTTTTGCCGCTGAGCTAAATCCCCAGCCCCTCTCTTCGGAATTTTAAAAGCAAGGCTCTCTGATGTTATACTGTCCAGGCTGCTACTTCTACAGCCCAAAGCTCTTTTGCTTCTTGGCCTGTGATCGCTATGTGTGGTCTGTTTATTTCTTCCCTAGAAGCTGCATACAGTCTTCTGTCCAAGTTCTGAAATCTCTCAATGCCTTGGAATGGGCATGCAGCACTTTTTTTTTCCTTTTTTTTTGAGACAGGGTCTCACTATGTAGCTCAGACTGGCCTTGAACTCACTATGTAGCCAGAACGGCCTCAAACTCACAGTGATTCTCTTGCCTCAGCCTCCCAAATGCTGGGATTAGCAGCTAACTCTCATTGCCAAGTTCTGGCAGTGTCACATGCACCTTCAAATAAATCCCTTCCTTGCCCAACTCCCAATAGTCTTTGCCTGAAACACAGCTTCCCTCACTGCCCAGGCATTTAGTTGTTTTTGTTGTTGTTGTTGTTGTTGTTTTCAAAATGTCTTTTTGAGACAGTTCAGGCTGGCCTTGAGCTCACTTTGTAGCCTAGGCTGGTCTCGAACTTCCAACGATCCTCCTGCCTCAGCCTCCCAAGTGCTGGGACTACAGGCGTGCACCACCATGCCTAGCTTCAGGCATTTAGTTTTTAAAAATTTATTATTATTATTGGTTTTTGAAACAGGGTCTCACTATGTAGCCCAGGCTGGCCTCAAATTCATAGTGATCCTCCTGCCTCAGCCTCCTGAGTGCTGGGAATATCAGCATGTGTCCCTACACCCAGCTCTGCCCAGACTTTTAAAACCCAAATTTGGAACTGAGGAGCCCAGCAGAGGGGAGGTCACCCGTGTTTTCATCCTTCCTTTTGGCCACTGGGTGGTCGTTCAACCTAGAAAGTTTGGGTTCTAGGACATTTTATGGATGATTTTGTGCCATTTTTTATTCTTTCTTGCTAGAACTCTTACTATTCATTTGCTGACCTCCTGATCTGATTCTTTGTTCTCTCACTTTCCATTTCTTTGCTATCTATTTTACTTTCTGAGAGAGTTCTCAGCTTTATCTGTTACCTGCAGACTGGCTTTCTTATTTCTACTGTCGTATTTCTATGTCTGCAAGCTCCTGTGCCTCTCCAGACCTTGCTCCTCTCCTTCAGAGCACCCTGTTGCCCTTCTTTCTCCTCCCGGAGCGTACCCCTGCGCCTGCGCACTCCCCACCACCTCCGAGTGAGGGTCCTGGTCTGGCTCTTCCATAGCAGGGCTTTCTCCACACAGCCTCAGTTATCTGTTCATATTTAAGGCACAGGGGATGAAAGGACACTGAGGGGTTCTGAATTATGATCCCCTGTGTTGTTATTCCTAGGTCTCTTCTCTTGGGCTCCTCAGGCCCCGAAAGCCTGGAGTCCGTGCCTGGTACTGGGGCTGAAGGGCCCTGCGTTGCACCCTCCCGGCCTGAACATCAGCATCACCACCCTCATTCTCAGCAGCGCCTGGCGTTTCCCATTCTGGTCTGAAATCTGCTGAAAGTTTCTAAATAGTTACAGAAACCTCCTTGGTTAGCGGCAGGAAGCGTGAAGTGAGAGGGCCAGTTATCTTCGGGCACATCTGTGGGCCAGAGACTAGAAAGCCACCAACCCCGAACGCAGCCGCCAAGCAGGTGTGAAACTTTGCTACTTTGTGAAGAGAAAGAATTTAAAACTCGAAACTAAAGATGGGAGTTGTTTTAAAATGACACACCAGCTGCATTTGTTTTACAGTTACCAACAGCCAGTCTCTCACCCGCAGCACCCTCAGCCCTGGACTTCTCCAGGAGAGGATCGGCCTTGAGAATCTCGCATTAAGGACAAGGAACTGCATGTACACAGCCACACAACAGCTTCTCTTCTGTCCTCCACCCGTCGGGCGGCTGCTTCCTAGGGTTCCAACCTAGACCTCACAAACAGCTGTTATTCTACAAGTCGGAGAATCACCTGCGCGCGCGCTCACCCGCCCCTCCTCACCGCAACACGCTGCGGAGCAGGTCCCAGCACCGCCCACCGTGCCCACCCGAGAACCCTGCGGTCCCCGGCCATTTCCTCGCCACTCCCAAAAAGCACCACCACCGAAGGGCCAGCTTTTGTCCTCCTCGGCTCCTCGGCCTTCCTGCTGTCTTGGCCATTGTCCTACACCCACACCCACAGTGCCATCTGCTCAAGGTGGTCTGCATCTCCAAACCCTAACCCCACCTTCCCCCTCCCTGCTATTATTAGTCATTTGTCTGAAACACAGGTTGAATCCCCAAACCTCAACTGCTCACATCCAGAAAACATAAAACTCAAACTCTCCAAGGCAGCACGCCAGGGCCCTCAGTCAGAAATGGCTTTCCACCCAACCCCCAACTCAACATCTCCCAAACATGACTGTCCGCACTGTCGCCTCCCCCTGGAATGTCTTCGCCAAACACCGCTAACCCTTGGCGGCCCAATTCCTACACTCTCCCCATGGTGGAAAACTCCCAGCGCCAGGCTCGGCGGCCCCCTCTGTCCACACTTTGCTAACACCTCGCTTGCCCACGCCAGGTTCACCCGGAGTTGCCCGGGGCAAGGCTCACGGATTTCCAGCATGCAGCGCAACCTGGATCTTGTGCACAGTTAGAGATCCGACAATGTGTGCAGAACTGATGAAGTAGGCGGACGCCAGTGATACCGAACCCTTACTGCGGGCTGCAAACGCGGCCCAAGTCCTACCAACTCCTCTGCAGTGAAACTAAGCACCTCACCATTCCACCCGGCTGAGGGCGGTGGACTTCACACTGCTACTTCCTAATTATCCCTCGTCTCTCTCCTTTCACCCAGACACTAGCTCACATTCTCAATGCCAGACTTCGCGGAGAAGGGCTACACCATGCCCTGCGGTGGGGGCGGGGAGGGGACCCGCAGCCCTGCCGTAGACTGGCATCCTCCCTGCCTGCGGTCACATTCTTATTCATCCCGGCCTTCCGAGTCTCTCCAGCACTGGATTATAAAATAAATAATTTAATAATTATGAAAACACTACGGCTTGTTGTGCTCGCCGCCAGACGGAACCTCTGCCCGAGCCAAGCGTTTGCTAGCGATGTCTTGGTGGCCATGAGCCCAAGAGAGAAGATAGATCCTACTGTTAGCCACTAATGCATGGCTTCCTTCTGCCCAAGAGGCAGGATGCTGCTTTGGGAGCACAGGGTCATTTAAGTGATGCTCTTCCACGCCCGGCCTGCGAGCGGGCGTCCGCACAGCTCCCGGCTTGTGGGCAGCAAAGGGGAAGCCGCCTTCAGGGGCAGAAAGTCGCCCGGCAGACCCGGACGAGGTGTGGGACCCGCACAGTCTCTGCCTGGGGACAGTCCTGGCCAGACGGAAGCCGACTGCGGACAGCGAGCCTCCTGCAAGGGAACCCGGGGACACTGCAGCACCTTTGTCGTCTCGGAACCGCTACCGAGGACCAAGAAGCCCAAGAACAAAACTGATAACATCCACAGTGCAGGGCCGGGTGCTCGGTCTGCCACAGGGGCGACAGGAGGTGAGGCGGCCGCACTCACTCCCACGCACCCTGCTGGTCCCGCCTCCCCGCGAGGAGAGGGCTCAGAGAGGGTGCGCGCTGGGCCAAGGTCACACAGCGGGCCGGCGTGGGGACTCGAACCCGGGGCCACGCTGGTCCTGCCCATCCCAGACCAGGGGACCGACCCGCGCTCCTCCGCCTGGCTGCGACTCCCCGTGCACGCCCGCGAGACCCCGGCCTCACCCGCATCCGCGCGCCGAATCCTTCGCCGAATCCACTGCCAAATAGCTCCGCAACTAACTGACCCTCCCGAAGCGTAGCCCCACCCCCGGCGCCAGAGCCCCGCCCCCACTATCTTCTCGCGAGAAGTTGTGGCTGAAGTCACGGAAGCCGGGGCGCACCCCCTCAATGCGCCTGCGCTCTCACACGCTGCCCCGCCCCTGCCAATCGCTGCCATGTGGCGCCGTATTTACGGCCAGCGATCGGCCACGCCCACTAACCACCAGGAGCCCCGCCTCTTCTGCCGCAGCCAATCCACGGCGTCGAACCTTCCGGGGGGGCGGGGCAAGAGAGCTCAGGGTACAATCTGCCGGGCAGTCTGTCTGGAGTGTGGCTTGCCTAAGCTATAGTCCCAATACCTGGCCCTTTTTTCCACCCTCAATATAGGCGTTGAGCCCAGGGTCTTTGTACTGAGCTAAAAGCTACCCTTGTTTATTTTTATTTTTAAATTTTGAAACAGGGCTCTCTAAATTGCCCAGGCTGGGTTCGAATTTGCGATCCTCTGCCTCAGCCTTCCAGAGCGCTGGAATTATAGGAGTCCAACTAAACCCGGCTCCCTGCCTTAATGGGACTCCTGCTGCTTACCAGACAAGTTGGTGAGTTTCAACTCATTGGCAGAGGGTTGTGACGCTCATCAGCTAGGGCTTTAGACTCGCTGTGTGATCTTGGCAAATGACTTAGCCTGTATGAGATAGTCTCCAAATCCACAAAAAAGAGTAACGATACTACCTTGTGAGGAGTCTCTGAGACTCAAATGAGATGTGTGCAAAGTGCTCACGCAAGGCGCCTAATATAGAGGAAGCATACAATAATCATTCTTGGCATTGAGTTTTTAAAATTGTGGTAAAACATACATCACACAAGGCCTTCACATTGAGCTACATCCTCAGGTTTTTTAGTTTTGAAATAGAATCTTGCTAAATTGCCCAGGCTCGGCTCAAGTTTGTGATCCTCCTGCCTCAGCCTCTCAGAGTGCTGGGATTACACATGTGCACCACGACACCTGACTCAATTTACCATGTAAATGGGCACTATAAAGTCAGTACTACTATAAAACATTGTTGTGCAGTGCCCTTAATTGTGCTGTCATGGCTGCCTTGATGACCTGAATTGATTCAAAACACCTCCATTTCATAGTCATAGTCATTTTGACTTTGGGGGAAGAGCCAGAAGTTACACAGTGCTAGATCCAGTGAATAAGGTGGATGAGGACACACTGTAACATTCCTACAAGCCTCCCTTTCTGGTGGATGGCACTAGACAGCATCATTCACTGTATTTTTTATCACACCTCATAAAAACATGAATGAAGACTTCCAGAAGTGCTTCACAAAGTGACGAGAAATGTGTTTGAAGCAAGGGGGGGGGGGAAGCTCATAGCCATGTATCTTTTACAGTTACAAATTACTTTTTACAATTTTCACCGTATTTTTTGATCACCCAGGTTCCTTGGTTCTAAGGTTGGGAGATGGGTGGCAGTTACATTGTTCCATTAAAAGGATTCAGAGTGTACAGCTCCTTCCCCTGTGTTGTTGTGTGTGCATCAGGGTGCTCCGGCCACCATGACAGGATGACACAGACCACAGAGCTTCAGCCACAGGAGCCTGTTCCACGTGGTTCCGAAGACCAGCAGCCTGGAGTCAGGGCCTTGGCCAGGCTGGTTCCTGCCAACAGGTCGGGGAAAGAATCTGTTCCGGCCCCTCCTGGGCTTGTACCGGGCTATTTTCTCTCTGTGTCTCTTCACACTAACTTCCTTCTAAGTGTACCTGCCTGTATGTCCAGACTTGCTTTTTTTGTATTTTTTTCTAGATTTCCCATTTGTTGTAAGGACATCAGTCACATTAGATGAGGACCATCCCAACGACTTGTTCATTTATCTCTCTAAAGGCTCTGTGTCCAAATAGTAACGTATTCTAATATACTAGGATTTAAAACTCCAGGGTAATCATTTTTGGGATTACAATTTAACCATAAGATTATGTGTCAGAAAATTACATAATAAACTTTTTTTTGGAAACAGGGTCTCACTAAATTGTTGGGCTCCAACTTGTGATTGTCCTAGCCCCAGAGTGCTGGGGCTATAGGTGTATGCCACCATGCCTAGCTCATAATAAGCCATTTGCAATGTTACTATCTACCGGAATGGTTAGAGTAAATTTTAAGTCTGACAGGACCAAATGCTGGTGGAGCTGCAAAGCAGCCGCATCTCCTACATTGCTGGTAGGATTGCAGAATAGTACAGTCCCTCTGGAAACATCGACTGATTTTTTGTTTTGTTTTGTTTTTTTCTCTGGTACCGGGAACTGAACTCACGACCTTGTGCTTGCCAGGCAGGCGCTTTTGCCGCTGAGCTAAATCCCCAGCCCCTAAGATCGACTGCTTCTTATAAACATCTTCCTGACAACCCAGCAGGCTCCCTTCTAGGTCTTGAGCTAAGGAAATGAAATTTATATTCCCACAAAAACTTCTTTTTTTATGTTTTTGTTTTTTTTCTCCGGTACCGGGAATCGAACTCAAGACCTTGCGCTTGCCAGGCAGGCGCTGTGCCACTGAGCTCAATCCCCAGCGCCCCCACACAAACTTCTATCTGAATGTTTTCATAACTTTTCTCACTTTCCCTAAATGGAGACAACCCGGATGTCCTGCACCCAGTGAACGAATAAAACTGTGGCACAACCACACCATGGGATGTAATACACAGCCATGAAGAGACAGTGTGTGCAGCCACCTTCGGATGCTTTGTGCTTGTTGGAAACGAAGCCAATTTTAAAGTTACCTATGAGTGTATTAGTAACTATTCCATTACTAACCATTCCATTGGTAACTAGTCCATGAATTCCATTAGTGATTATGCCTTACATAGTTTAAAGGAGGAGAGGTTTATTTTGGCTCGTGGTTGCAGAGGTTTCACTCCATCGTTAGCGGACTCAGAATCATGGTAGAAGCGCATGGTGGAGGGAAGGCACCCACCTTGTGGCAATCAGGAAGCACAGTGAGAAGGGGAGAATCAGGGTGGAGTGCCCAAGGTCTTGCTCCCAGCGAGCATCTTCATCCAACTAAACCTCACCTCCTAAATCTCCATCACCTCCCAATAACACCATCAAAGTATGACCTCAGCCATGGATCAACCTACTGATGAAGTTAGAGCCTTCACGATTTAATCATTTCTGGAAACACAGACACACCCAGCAGTATGCTTTACTAATTTCCTGCGTGTTTCTCAATTCAGCTGAGTTGATGACTGCAATTAGCTCTCCCACCATATGAATCCATTTACAGGATGTTTTAGAAAAGGCAAAACACAGGGATAGGTATCTTCTGGGCTAGGGCTGGGGCTAGGGAAAAAATGATTTCTTCTCCTTTTTTCTTAATATTTTTTTTTCCAAGACAGGGTCTTGCTATGTAGTTCAGGCTGGGCTTAAACTCATTCACGTAGCCCAGGCTGGCCTTGAACTCACAGTGATCCTCCTGCCTCAGCCTCCAAGTGCTGGGATTACAGGCATGTACCACCACGCCCAGCTTGGGAGGAAGTGATTTTGGAAGGGGTGTGAGAAAATTTAGGGGGATTCCACAGTTCTATTTCCCTATTGTGGGGGTTGTGGTGGCTACACGGGCATATGCTTTTGTTGAAACCCATAAGGCTGTGCATTCAAAAGGTACATTTTACCATGTATAAATGATGCCTTTGTTCAAAAATCTCTTAACATGTCATTTCCCCCAGCTGAAATTCTGCTAGTTACTGAGAGGTGGTACAAAATAAAGATTAAATGAAATCACAGACCGAGAGGGCCTGTGTTTGGAGGAGCTCAAAGTCAGCAATTCCCAAACTATCCCCTTGTTCAGATTCCCAAGTTCATGCTAGGAAAGCCTCATTGGAAATTTGAACAAAGCTCTGAAAGACATCTATTGAGTGCAAGGACAGAGGGCCTCGGAAGTCTGGACCTAGACTTTGATCAAGACCACCCCTTACTGGGATGGGGTTAGGTGCCGCCATTGTGTAATGGGTGCAGGTCCCTTTTTGGGGTGAAGAAAATGTCCTGGAACTTGCTGAGGTGATAGTTGTACAACACCCTAGATGGACTAAATGCTCCTGAATCCTTCACTCTAAAATGGTTACTTTTATCTTGTTGATTTTACCTCCACTGTCAATAACTGGATTCTGATGCTAAAAGCAAGTGGAAACATTTTTACTTACTTTCTCTGAAGTAGCTACACTTTTTTTGCAGGTTATAGATCAGGAAGGGATTTGGAGAAGTCAACCAACTGGGGAAGGTACACAGCTGTGTAAGTGACAGGGTCAGGGCCAGAGTTCAAATTTTTGACTCCAGAGCCAAGGCTGTACCACATCCGAGTGGCTCCCTCGGTGGGGAGAGTGTCCGTCTGGTGGTTGGGGGCAGCTCTGCCCTGGAGGTGCCCACAGTGGTGAAGGTCACTCGCCTTTGGTGCTCCCCACCCACCTCCTGTGCAAGGTGTGACCTCCCCCGGGCTGACCACAGCCTGGCTCAGCCGGCACCCAGCCCTCACATTCGAGGCAAGTGCTCTGCTACTGAGGTGCACCCCTGGCTCCTCTGTTTGTGTTTCAGTTTGAGGTATTCTAGGTCCCCTACCAGCTACAACAGCTTCTGCTTTCGTAACCAGGGTTGCAGCAGAGGAAAAATAGAAATAAGTGTGACTTGGGCAAGAGATGGACTAAGAATCTTCAGTTTCTGCTGACAGAGGAACTAGAAGACCCTAACGACTCCTGTGACTCCTGCACTGCAGTTGCTACGGGCACCAAAAGGGAGGGAGAGAGAGAGAGAGAGAGAGAGACAGAGAAGAAAGCAGGGTGGGAATTGGAGTCGCCACAGCCTTTCCAGAAAAGGAGAATGGACAGAGTTCCCCTATTAATGTTGTACCCACTGCTCCACGGCCTGGCCCTGCACACAGCCCTACACACAGCTCTGCACACAGCTCTACCGCGCTTGTCTCCAGTGTCCTGGGGGCACAGTGGGGTAACAGTGTTAGGAAGCCAGGCCCGGATGCTGAGGCCATCACCCAGCAGCCAGGTAACCTTGGGCTGGCCCTCCAGCCTCTGCAAGTCTCTAAGCTTTGGCCACTGAGCCACTGCACCTCACCCCACGCCGCAGTCCCACCAGACCTGCTCTGCCTCCTGCTTTACCCTGTCAGTGGCCCATGTGGCTGGAAGGGGCCACATGACATGGGGCTACATCTTACACCAATGAGGAGGTACTGGGACTCTGGGCCAGTCCCATGTGGGTCCCCAAAGGCCAAGGTGGGGTGCAGCTGGGCCGTGGCTGAGGGGCTCTTGGGGTCCTCCTGTTCCATGTGCTAAGGATTACCCTGGGGGTGTGGACAGGAAGCTTGGGGACCCCCCCAGGAGGCAACCCATGTACCCAAGAACTGCAAGTACACACAGAACAAGTGCAGTGGGTGAAATGTTTGTGTCCTCTCAAATCCATCTGTTGAAATATAATCTCAAAGTAATGGCATTAAGAGGGGGCCCAGGGGCAGTTTGGTGAGTAGGGTGCAGCCCTCACCAATGGGATTAGTGTCCCCATAAAAGCACTGAAGACACAGCAAAGTCAGCAGTCTGCAAGCCAGAAGCAGACCCTACTGAAGCCCATCCAGGCTGGGACCCTGATTTTAGACCTCTTGGCTTCCAAGCTGAGAGAAAATGCCTGCAGGCCATAAGTCATCAGCTGTGGTGTTTTCTTACAGAAGCTCAGTGGACTATGACTCTAACCCATACAAAAGCAAGGGAAGAACAAGCCGGCGTGGGACATGGGTGTCCAGCCTTCTGTGGTAAGACGATATGTTCTTAGAAAGAGCTGGAGAGGTCCTGAAGCTGCTGCCACCTGATCCCTGGTCTCAACACCAGGGCTTACCTGCTCGCACACCTCCAAACTGGGGAGCTCACTCTCCACCTCCGGCTGTGGCTGCTCAGGCATCCCCCGACCTCTGCAGCCCAGGCCTACTGGCTGCAGCCCCTTCCCCCTCCCCAGACAGCATCCTCCCAGAGCAGACCCTGGATGGGGGGTGGCCCCAGAAGAGCATCCTCAATGGTGCTGTCCCCAGAAAGGTGTGCGCTTCCTGGAGGGCCCATGGTCAGGGCTGGCTCTCCACGGCGTGTCTCTAGAAGGCAGCCCTGCAGTGGTGTGCGGGCTGCCCAGACGTGTCCCAGCCACAGCCCATCTTGTCCATCCAGCCTGACGGTAGGGCTGGCTCCTGGTCCCCTGTGTGCCTGCTTCACCATTCACCGACTACCTTGGTCTCTGTGGCCTCTTGGCGCTGCCTCCCTGCCGCCCGCGGGGGTTGCTAGGGGGCAGTGGGCTGTGGTGTTGGCCTCCGCTGTCTGCAGACCCTAGGGTGGATGGACAGGAGACCTGTCTGTGGGCCAGGCAGACTCAAGCGAAGCCAGCACCCCAGCTGGGGCACCTGACGTTGGACTCCGCACCCACAGGCCCGCCCTCTTCCAGCCTCAATGAACTGAGAGCCACTGGCTGGGAGCTCGGTCACTTCCTTTCCATTCCTCGGGGTCTAGTGTAGATTTAACTGCTCTAAGCATTGCCAGGTGGTCCCCAAGGCCCTTCTGAAGCCACATTCACCCTCTAGCAGCTGCACCCAGTAGCTCTGCCAGATGTGATAAGGACAGGGTCCTGAAGCACCCTTCTTAACCCCCCTCCTTGACTCTCTGACTCAGCTCTCCGGCTCCGCCCCTGCACCCCTCCCAGGTCCTGCCTGGCCCATGACTGCGCATAGGGGCCTGCAGAGCGTGAAGCTTGGGCTTGTGGGTGTGTCGCTCTCCCTCCCGCCCTGGCCTCTCCCCATCCCGGAGGCTGGTAGGGTGCAAGCCACAGGACCGCAAACAGTGGGATGGGGCAGTACTGACCTCGGATATCACGGGGCAGGAGGGGCGCTCTGCTGGAACCTGCGCTGCTCTGCCACGTGGGGCTGGGGAAGGTGAAGCTGACTTCAGGAACATGCAGCGTGGCTTCTTCTACACAGCAAGACCGGAGACAGGAGAATGTTATTTTTAGGAACCACCCAGAGAGTGGCAGAAATAAATTAATCTACTATGTGGTGGGCTCCTAATCCCCTCACTGGCCTTCCCCCAGCCCTGGAGGTTTATTTGCGTTATTTCGCCCATTCATTTATCTGTGCACTTGGGTTTTTGAGACAGGGTCTTGCTAAGTCACCAGGTTGGCCTCAAATTCATGATCCTCCTGCCTCAGCCTCCTGAGTGCTGGGATTACAGGTGTGTACCACCACAACCAGCAAAAGGGTTATGTTTTATGTGAACTCCTGCAGCATTTTTTCAGTCTCCCCCAGCACCACTCCTGGCTTGATTTTCCTTCTCCAGCACCAACTACACTTCTTTTTTCCATCCCTCCTTGCTCTCAGCTGCCCATTTCATGGTCATGAAGAGGACTTTTTGGGTACCAAACATCCTCAAATAGAATAGAAGCTGGGAGTCAAGCATGGTGGCACATGCTTGTAATCTCAGCACTCTGGGAGGTTGAGGCAAGAGGATCACAAGTTTAAGTTCAGCCTGAACAACTTAGCAACACCCTGTCTCAAAAAAATAAAAAGGATTGGGGATAAAATTCAGTTCAAAGATCCAAAGTTTAATCCCCAGTAGTGGAAAAAAAAGCATTTATTTATCTATTTTGATTTTTTGAGACAGGGTCTTGCTATTTTTTTTTTTTTTTTTTTTTTTTTTTGGTACTGGGAATTAAACTCAGGACCTTGTGCTTACCAGGCAACGCTTGTGCCACTGAGGTATATCCCCAGCCCCAGGGTCTTGCTATTTGTTCGGACTGTCTTTGAACTCACTATGTAGTCCAGGCTGACCTCTAACTCATGGTGATCCTCCTGCCTCAGCATCTCAAGTTCTGGGATTATAGGTATGTGCCACCACATCCCAGAACATTTTTAAAACAAGCAAGGGGAGTGGGTGGTAGGGAGGGATGTGGGTCTCTCCCATCTGAGCTGAGTGCCCTCTGCTCAATGGTCACCCCACAGAGAGGCCCCCCAGCTGCCCAAACTCTGGTCACACTTTTCCTGCACTCCATCCTCCTGTCTGGCCTTGCTCCATTCCCAGCACACCTAGGAGCTCAGGGCCGCAGGCCTTGGATGAGGGTGATCTCGACTTCCTGGGGAGATGCATGCTCAGCTCGGCAGGGAAGGGGGCTCTCTGGCTTTCCCCAGCCACCTGCAAGCCTTCATTATACCATGTCAGGCACAGAGGGAGGCTCCAGAGCATCCACCTGGCCATGCTGCTGACACCGGGTGTGACCCTGGGGAGCTCACTGCCCCTCTAGCCTCAACACATGGTGTGTGCTCGGTAAGGAGGAGCCTTTACCAGGGGAGCAGCTGTGCCAGCTGGAGCACCCTGTGATCCATGGGGAGGACTGGATTGTCTGTTTCCTTCCCATCAGCAGGGACTGACACTTATGTAAATGGAACAAAAGCGAATTACTAGAAAAACGAAACACTTAAAAATACAGAATCTAGGCCTTGGTCAGGAGTTACGGGGTCACCACGTCACCACACTACATTTTAAAGGCTCCTCTCAATGTGGGTTCTCCCTGCGGCAGGTAGTGCAGACACCCTCTGCAGGCGACCACCGGCTCTGCTGAGGCTTTGTGACAGGGACCACCCGGACATGGCTGGCATCCTGCCATGGGGGTGGTGGGGCAGAAGTCTACAGAGGACATCATCCTCGGTGGCTATTTCAGTGTGGTGACACAGTGGCTTTTTCTTATAATTTGGATCTATATGAGAAAATGCTCACAATGAGCACTCTTTTTTTTTTTTTTTTTTTTTTTTTTGTGGTACTGGGGATTGAACCCAGGGCACTGAGCTACATCCCCAGCCCTATTTTTAATTTTTTTTTTTAATTTTGAGACAGGATCTTGCTCAGTCACTAAGATGCCTAGGCTGGGTTCAAACTTGCAGTCCTCCTGCCTCAGCTTCTCAGAGTGCTGCAGTTGCTGGCCTGGACCATCATGTCTGGTTCTTTCTGTACTAATCATACCTAAGGAGCCAGCACTCAGACCTGCACTGAGCACACTTTCAGGGCCAGGAGTGCGGTCCGTACTGAGATAGCTGACTGTATGCAGGACATCAGTCACCAGCCTGAGCACTACTCTCAAGCCCAGAAAACCAGAGGCAAAGCTGGATGCCCGTTGAGTGCCCTTCTGCATGATACCAGCAGCTGCCCTAAGAAGACCTAAGATCAATCACAACAAGGCACAGATAGATGGCAACAGCCTAAACCAGCAATGGCAAACCCTTCAGAGCTTTCAATGCTATAAACACCCCACTGTGGCACCCTCGCCATAGCTTTGCCACCACTGGCCTAGACTATCATATGTTCCAAATTCACATTCAGAAGAAAGAACAGTGCTGGATTCAGGTGTTGTACACCTGTAATCCCAGCACTCCGGGCAGCTAAGGCAGGAAGACTGCAAGTTTGAGCCTAGCCTTGGCAACTTAGTGACTTAGCAATCCCTGTCTCAAAATAAAAATAAAAAGCAGTGAGATGTAGCTCAGTGAAAAGACCCTGGATTCAATCCCGTGCACACCCCCCCCCAAAAAAAAAGACACAGAAAAGAACATGCTATTTTCTTCCCCTGATTCTGTACCTGTGTGGAAACTGAGGTTGGGTTTTGTTTTGGAGGCCGTAGGGACAGCTGGGAAAAAGCTCTTTCCTGATGACTTCGATGGCTGCAAGTGTCCAAGGGACAGCTGACTCTCAGTAAAATGCTCCACAGAGAGGGGAGGTTTCTCCGTCATCTGCAGGGAAAGTACACACAGAGGGCAGGTGTGAGCAGGAGTGCAAGAGGGGTGAAAGGTCAAGGTCATACACTGATTAAGGACCTGCTGTGTTCTGTGTGAATGGATGGGGTTTCTGCTGGCCCTCTCCGCAGTTCCCGGGGATGAGTACATGAAAGAATGAATGAATGACATTCTAGCTGTGTTCCCTCCTTTCCCTCATCAAGTCCCCCAAATGGAAGGAGCTCCCATCTAAACCGAGGGTGATGGTTAATTATGTGTCAACCTGCTGGGCATGGCGTACCCAGGGACCTGTCTGGACAGTATTCTGGGTTTGTCTGGGAGGGTGTTTTTGGATGAGTGTACGTTTAAAAAGCAGACAGCCTCCATTGTGTGGGTGGGCCTTGTCCAATCAGGTGAAGGTCTGAACAGAATAGAAAGGCAGACCTCCCTCAAATACAAAAGAATTCCTTCAGCGTCATGGCCTCCAGCTGGACCGTTGGCCTCTTCCTGCCTGGAACTGAAACATCAGCTCTCCCAGGTCTCCAGTTGCTGCCTCAGCCTTGGATCTGGGGACCTGCCAGACTCCAAAATTCCATGAGGCACTTCCTGGTGACAGATCTCTGTCTTTCTCTGTGTGCGTCTACATGGACACAGAGGGATTTGGGGGCATATTTTTAGATATACATAATCATCACATTCTTTATAGGGAGTTTGTACCTGTACATGCTATATCTTCCTTTTTTTTCCCAATTTCCCTCTCTTCCTTTTAACCCATTTTCCCCTCTTTATTTACAAAACCTTTATTTCCATTTTTTCCTTTTATTCTCTTTTGTTTCTTGTCCCTCTCTTCCTTCCCCCCACCCTCTCCCTTGTTCCCCTTCTTATTTGAACATTTTCTTTCTATTTCCCAATATCTATTATACATTTTAGTCGTTATTCATACTTTCAGTTTTTCACACCAGAGAAACCATGAGACAAACAGATACAGCGTTCTGTCTCTCAGGAGAACGCAGACAACATGCCCTCCCTGCAACCCTTGCTGCTGTCCTCCCTTCAGGGCTGCGGAACAAGTCATCAGTTCCCTGTCACTGTCAAGCCAGTGGCCACCCCGTGCCCACCCCATGGGGCTCTGGTTGGCGGAGGCAGGACAAAGCCCTGCCAGACCCTAGCTACTAGCTATGCACCCACTTGTTTATTCACCAAGTGAGCAGTGAGAAAGAAACCCTGCCAAGGAAAGAGCAATTCCCTGGGAGCCCTGGGGACCCACAGACAATTCCATACCGTGCTCCTCAATCTCACACTTTCATGGATGTTTGTGGATCTGCTCGCCAACTCTTGTCCCTGAGCTGCACCCCAGCCTTGGGATTCTGCTGAGCTTTGCTGTGGGTCACATCATGCAGTACCCCAAGCAAGCAATTCAAAGAGGAGACTATAGTCCAATAGGAAGACTGAGGGTGTTGGCCGTAGTAAAAACTAAAGGCTCCTATGTGGCCAGTGAAAGGGAAACAGAAATCCTCAAGGTGGCCAGAGTCTGCGGTCATCTGCAGTCATTGGTCTGGTGAATCATCTCTTCCTGCAGATGTGGATGGAGCCCTGTACTGGGCAGTCATTGGTCTGGTGAGTCATCTCTCCCTGCAGATGTGGATGGAGCCTTGTACCGGGCTCTGCGAGGGAAAGGGAGACGGTGGAATCAGCTCCTGACAATCCAGCTCTCACGAGTTATCTAACTGCTGTGTTCTGGAACCAAGTAATGTACTTTTCCTTAAGTTAAAACACAAATACTGGCTGGGCATGGTTGCACACATCTGTAATCCCAGCACTCTGGGAAGCTGAGGCCAGAGGATTGCAAGTTCAAGCTCAGCCCGGACAACTTAGTGAGACCCTGTCTCAAAAATTGAAGAGGGCTGGGAACGTAGCACAGGGCAAAGGCCCTGGGTTCATTCCCCAGTACTGCAAAAATACTAAAATTAGAACTAAATACTGGGCTGGCAATGCAGCTTAGTGAGAGCATGCTTACCTAGCATGTGTAGGGCCCTAGTTTCCATCCCTAGCACCAAAAGAAACAAAACTACAGAAAAATTCACAAAATCATATTAGGGGAAAAACAAACATCTTATAGTACTGTGTCCTAGGGGATTCTAACTTCACGGAGCCTGAGAAGCAGACCTGGGGGAGGTCCCCAGCCTGCCCACCCTGGTCTGGCTCCACTCCAGCAACCAGGCAAGTGGTGCCATGCTGACTCCACTCACCAGCTGCACGCCACAGGTGACAGAGGGCGACCGCTTCCTCCTGGCCTTTCTTTCCACGGAGCGGTCCCTGCTCGGGCTGGCAGGGAGCCACCTCTTCTCTGCAGGGCTGGGGTCTGGGGTGGCACTGGGCTTTTGGTCCTTGGAGTCCAGGGCTGCCTCCTCCAGGTGACGGGACGAGCGGCTGCTACTGCTGTCCCGGTCCTGTGCCTTGGAGCGCCGGCTGGCTGCGATGCGGGCAATGCTCTTGGTGCCCAGGGCCATCTCTTTGCGGGCCTGGACACTCAGGGCTGGGCTGCCAGCTCTCCCCGTCAGCCAGGGGGTGCCCAACTCCAGACCAGCCGGGGGGTTCAGCTTGGAGATGAGGCTTTTCATGGTCAGGGTGCTCGGCTTCTGCAGGAAATCAGCACCAAAGGGGAGAGTCAGAGGTCACGAGCTGCTACCAGGGTTCCAGGGTATCACTGTGGTCTGGAGCAGACCCAGAGACAGTGACTTGAGGTCAGGATCATGGCACCCAGGATCACTCCTGGGCCAAAGCGTCTCCTGAGCACAAGTGCCCACTCCTCTGCGTGGCAGAGCAGCCCCCACGGCTGCCCGTGGAGGGGCTTCCTCACTGGTGGTCAGCAGCTGGAAAGTCTTCAGCCTGCCTGTTCATTAAGCTGATGGAGCAAGAAGAGCACTAACAGCTTCTTTCTTTTAAAAAATGGTGCCGTGGCTCAAACCCACAGCCTCACGCATCCCAGGCAAGTGCTCCTCCATGGGCTACGCCCAGCCTGGCCCGTGGGCTTCCTTGTGATAGTTCACAGGAAAGGACCAATTACCAACTCAAGGGTAGCCAAGCCTCCTCCTTCTCCTAAGCCCGCCCACTTGCCATCCTCCCTCCTCTGAGCACCTGTCCCACCCTGGTCCCCATGGAGCAGGAGATCATGTGCTGGGTGGAGGACAGGCGGATATACACCACAAGGGGAGTAGAGCAGTGAGACAGAAAATTCCAGGGCAGAGGAAGGGGCGGGGCTCAAGGCTGTGAGTGACAGGGAAGTGAGAAAGGGATCACCACTGATGAGGGGGTCACTCAGCAGCAGTTGGGGGTGTCGCTGAGTGTCTTGGGACAAGCAGTGAGCCAGTTGCTGTTCTTCAAGAGAAACGCAGAGGAACAAATAGCACTTTTTCTTTATTGAACTAGCTTTTGTTTTTGCTTTTTAATTTGGCACCATGCCAAGGCTCCTGGATTCCTCATTTTCTGGTGAAGAAATAGAGACTCAGAGATCTGAGGTAACTTGCCCAAGGTCACAGTGCAGCTAGCAAGGGATTTGAGCCCAGGTCCAGCTAGGTCCTGAGCCCCAAAGTGCCGACACCCGAGAGAGCTGGAGGCTGGAGGAGGCCACCAGAACCCGCGAGGGGCTTTTAACTCATCCACTCACCGGCTCCTTTCAAGTACAATACTCACTTTGTGCCAGCGGCCGCTGCCATTGTGAGGGGCTTCGGGTCAGCCCTCCTTCTGGAAGCCCCCCACCCATGCATGCAGCTCTGGCAGGGTGTAGTGGCCCGCTGCGACGCGCACACCAACCTCGAGCATGGGAGGAGTCAGCCGGGTGCGAAGCGGTGGTGGAGGGAGGAGAGAGTCCTGTCTGCCTGGCTTTCTCGATGCCGTGGCTTTCAGTGACTTGTTACCATCACTGCAGATGAAGCAGAGGCCCAGCAGGGCTATTGTCAGGGCCCGGCAGCCTCTGTCAAGGCCTGAACCTGGGCTTCTGTGCCGCTCCAGCCACGAAGGCTGTGCCCCCACACTGGGCAGGGCAGTGGCCTCGGTCGCACTCCTGGTCACCTATCATGGCCAGGCCTGTGCTGAGGACCAAGGGTGCTCTGGTCCCTGGCAGAGAGGGCCCTGCCCCACCACTCTATCTAGGTGGAGCCATGCACCCAGTGGGCAAGGGATGTGAGGGCAATCCCCGAGGGCTGTGATCCTTGTACCAAGAGGGCTAGGGATGAGCCAGAAGAGCCCACTTCAGACCAGGAATCAACCAGCCTCAGGCCAGGCGCCCTGTAAGCTCCTTGCTATGTTGGTGAGGTGACTCCTGGCGGCCCCTGGAGAGACCCAGCTTGGAACTAGAGGGATAGGACATGGGCCAGGCAGACCTGCAGGGAGGGGAGAGGGCTGGAGACTGAGCTAGCAACAAACTCATACGATGAAACCCCAGTGAAACACGGGCCCAGAGGCTGACTCCAGCATGCCAGCACCTCAGGGGCAGACGCAGTGTCCCTGTGCCCCATGCAGAGCTGGAGGGAGCTCAGCCTGAGGTCTGACTGCATCCAGGCTGCAGCTGTAGGTCCGGCTCTGGAGAGGGAGGTGGAGCTGGCCTCCTTCCAGGGAGAGAGGTGAGACTGGGCTGACTCAGTGGTCCTGCAGCCCCTTCTGAACACTGTGTTCTCAGAGTGGAGCTGACAGCAAACCCACACACGGGGTGCCAGTGGCAGAGGCATCCAGCCCGGACCAGGACAGGGGCACTGTGTTCACGTGCGCATGCACACGAGCATGCACAGCACATGACACGTGGACACAGGCACGCACTGCACACAGGACTTGTGTTGGGACCCAGAAAACGAGACTCCTACTTGAAGACATCAGAAGCATGGTCCCCCTCTGACCTTCCCCTGTCCTCCTGTCTCTTGTCACTCTTCCCCACAGTGCCAAACTTGTGACCCTCCAACCTCAGCCTCCTGAGTAGCTGGGATTATAGGCATGCACCACCACACCTGGGAAGATTTTGGTTTGTTGGAGGGAAGCACTGGGGATTGAACCCAGGACCTTCACACTGAACTACATCCCTAGTCCCTTTTTTTTTTTGTAACAGGAATCTAACTCAGGACCTTGTGTTTGCCAGGCAGGTGCTTGTGCCATTGAGCTATATCCCTGGCCCGTTTTTTTTTTTTTTGAGACAGGGTCTTACTGAGTAGTTCAGGCTGGCCTTGAACTCAGAGAAATCTTCCTGCCTTAGCCTCTTGAGTGATGGGATTACAGCTATGTGTCCCTGTGCCCAGCTTATGTTGTTGTTGTTGTTGTTTTGGTTTTTCTCCGGTACCGGGAACCGAACTCACGACCTTGTGCTTGCCAGGCAGGCACTTTGCCGCTGAGCTAAATCCCCAGCCCTTATGTTATTCTTAAAATAATCCTGCAGAAAGGGGACGTTAGACTCACTTTCCCAAAGAGGAAGCAGAGACTTCTAGGTTCCTAGAGGAGCTCGGTCCACACCCAGACACCGTCTGGCTTACCTATCTCTCTCTAGAAGCAGCGGGAGCAGCTCAGATTGGAGGCCCCACGGGAGGTTTTTCTTGTCCTTGTGCTGGGCTTGGCTGGCCTCGGGCAGAGATGATATATTCAGAACAGAAGCATCCTGGGGACAGACAGACAAGGCCGGCAAGGCCAGCAGGGACGCAGGTAAAACATATCATCAAGCAGGTCCTCAGGGGTTTCTGAGGGGCCACGGGAAGGTAGCTGCTCTCCCTGGCACCACCATGCAGTCAGGGGGGCCACTGAGACAGCCCCCTCACTTGAGCCCCCGCTGTGGAGACAAAGGGAAGTGCTGCTGCTCAGGGAGCGCCAGGTACCATCACACGGCCTGATCCTTGAGCAGAAATGGGGTACGAGGGAACGCCTCTAGTCAGATCCCAGAAGGCTGCAGGTCCTCAACAGGCTAGACACAGAATTATTGTACAAGTCAGCAATTCCACTTTTGGTCCCTACCCCAAAAGGAGTAGAATGCTACTGGAAAAGAGGGACTCAAAATAGATACAGGGTATGATTGAAAAATATGGTGAAGTTTTGATTATTAAAAGATTTATTACATTAAAAGACACATTGCCATTAATCGCTCTCAAAAATACCCTCCCTCACTTTGAACACACTTATCCCATCATTCTTGCCACTTTTTGAAGCGGTTCTGCAAATCCTCTTTTGTGAGTATTGCGGTGGCTGCCTCCATGTCCTGAACTGATTCAAAATGCTCACCTTTCATGGTTGTTTGGACTTAGGAGAAGAGCCAGAAGTTGCACAGCACCAGAATAAGGTGGATGAGGATGAGCTATCATGTTTTCATTTGACAGAAATTGCCATGAATGTTTTGAACCAACTCAGGACACTGAGGCAGCCATGAAAAGATACTCATGAAAGAAGACTTCTAGAACTTTTTCAGAAAGTGGCAAGAACAATGGGAAAAGTCTATTTGAAGGGACTGGGAGCCAGGTGTGGTAGCACATACTTGTAATCCCAGCACTCAGAAGGCTGAGGCAGGAGGACCTCAGGGAGTTCAAGGCCAGCCTGAGGTATAAAGCAAGACTCTATCTCAAAAAAAAAACCAAAAAAACAAAAAATAAATAGAAGAAACAAGGGGAAGTATTTTGAGAGGAATTAATGGTTGTATGTCTCATATTGTAATAAAAATTAAAAACTTTAGGGGGCTGGGGATTTAGCTCAGCGGCAAAAGCGCCTGCCTGGCAAGCACAAGGTCATGAGTTCGGTTCCTGGTACCGGAGAAAAAACCAAAAAAAAACCCAAACAAACAAAACCAAACAAACAAACAAACAAAAAAAAAAATTAAAAACTTTAAAATTTAGACATTTACTGTCCGCTTTGATCACATCTCATATTTTCACACTGGTGTTCACAGCAGGTCAAACTCACCTGCAGTGAGCTGGCCATCCCAGAGTGCAGCAGCAGCAAGCGGTCCAGCGTGTCCTCACCTAGCTCCCGGAAGTACAGCTGGTACTGCCTCTCTAGGGCCTCTGGCACCTGGATGCCACTGTCTGTGGAACCAGGAAAGCAGGGATTAGAGTGGGGTCAGGACGCCCCACCCCACCCCCACAAAACTAGGCAAATAGCCACCACTTGTTAAAAAGGCAGTACCATTGCTTTGAGAAGGCAATAACTTCTACCTCATAGAAGAGGCTTTTCTGATGTGTTCTCCTATGTTTTCATCTATTTTTATTTTATTTTATTTTATTTATTTATTTTTTTGTTTTTTCTCAGGTACCGGGAACCGAACTCATGACCTTGCGCTTGCCAGGCAGGCGCTTTTGCCACTGAGCTAAATCCCCAGCCCCTTCATCTATTTTTATTAAAAAAAATTGTTTTCAATACTGAGATTTGAACCCAGTGTCTCACACACACTAGGCAAGTGGTCTTCTACTAAGCTATACCCACAACCCAAGCTTAAAATTTGCCGACTGTTCATGGATTGCCTTTGAATCATAAAATGTTATTAATGATTCTAATAATGGATGAATAAAATTTAAGTCAAATGTTAAAGGACCACTCCAAAAGAATTGAAAACAAGTTAAAAAAAAAAAAAAACCTCCAGGCAAGGTGGCTCATGCCTATAATCCCAGAAACACATGAGAGGCTGAGGCAGGAGGATCACCACCTGGGTTATATAGCGAGTTTAAGGCCGGCCCGAACTACGTAGCAAAGACTTTGGAAAACAAAAAACAAAGAAACAGAAAAATTTGTACACAAATGTTCTTAGCAGCATTATTCAGAATCACCAAAAGATAGAACATCCTAGATGCGCCTGAACAAACCAACAGAGAAGCAAAATGGTCCATCCACACAGCAGAGTACAATTCAGCCATGAAAAGGAATGGTGTTCCCACACACGCTGTGACACGGAGTCTAAAAAATACTATACTAAGGGAAAGAAGTCAAGCAGAAGTAATCATGTACTGAATGTCTCCATTTCTGTGAAGCATCCAGGACAGGTAAATCCAAGAGACAGAATGCAGGCTGGGGGCTTCCAGAGACTGGGACGGGGATAGTGGGGAGTCACTGTGAATGGGGCGGGGCCTCTGGGCCATTGGGGTGCTGTAGGACCAGACAGAGGAGGCTGCTGACCATGGTGGGGAGACATGAAATGCCACTGAGTTAATCACTTTAAAATGTGTAAAATGGGAATTTCATGTTATATAAATTTTAATATATTTTTATTAGTGCCTATTCATTTTATAGAATATTTGGTTTCAATGTGGTAATTTCCTACATGCATATGACATGTTTTAATTGTAACCACTCCCCCACTGCCACCCCTCACACCACTACCACCACCCTTCTAATTACCTTCCTCTTGTCTAATAACAGTCTTCCTTCTACCTTCATGCCACCCACCCCCCTCTTTCTCTCTGTCTTTCTTTCTTTGATTCCACACTTTAGGGAAGACATGTGACACTTGTCTTTCTCAGTCTGGGTTATTCTACTTAATACAGTGATCTCCAGCATCCGTTTTCCTTCAGATGACACAATTTTGTTCTTTATGATGGTTGAATAATACCTCATTGTATATAAATACCATGTTTTATTTTATTTTGTTTTTTCAAAGTAACACTTCACTCTAAACTCCAGACTGGGTTTGAACTCATAATGTAGCCCCAAGATGGCCTAGAATTCTTGGTGATGCTCCCACCTCAGCCTCCAAAATACTGGGATTACAGATGTGTACCACCACACCTGGCTGTATCACATTTTCTTTATCCATTCATCTGTTTACAGGCACCAAGGCTAGTTCTGTAGCTTAGCTATTGTGAGCAGTACCACAATAACCATGAGTATACAGGTATCTCTACAGTATGATGACTTTAATTTGGGAAGAATATCCCAACGAGAAGTATAGCTAGATCAAACGGCAGCACTACTTATAGTTTTTTGAGGAACCTCCATACTGATTTGCATAGTGGCTGCACTAGTTCATGTTCCTATGAGCAGAGCAGAAGACTACCTTTTCTCCTATATCCTTGTCACCACAAAATGTACTTTTGTGTTCTCAAGGGTAGCTGTTCTGACTGAGATGAGACGGATTCTCAATGTAGTTTCCTTTGCATTTCCCTGGTGTTATATAATTCTTACCTCAGTGAAAAACGTAAAGGAGGAAACTGAAAAGCAGATTAGTTATACCTCTGACAAAATTTGATTGCATATAGGCAGGGGGTGGATTATAGGGAATCTGTCTTCCTTTCCAAAACACTCTTTATTGCTGCTATAAGTTTTTAATGCCTTCTCTCAGCCAGGCACAGTGGCACATGCCTGTAATCCCAACCCCCTAAGAAGCTAACACAGGAGGATCTCAAGTTCAATGCCAGCCTGGGCAGTTCAGCAAGACCCTGTCTCAAAAAATGAAAAAGGACCAGAGATGTAGATTAGGGCTGGAGTTCAACCCCTGGTACAAGACAAAACAAAACACTAACTAAACTGGGTGATTAGGACTATTTTTTTGGTTTAGGGACATTAATGGGACAACAGGCAAGACTAAGATACAGTCTGAAAATCAGTATTGTACCAGTGTCGGTATCCTGTCCTCACATAAGAAAATGCACTTGTTTTTAGGAAATATACCCTAATGTACTTAAGGGTTTAAAACATGGTTTAGGAGAGAAAGAAACAAAGAATGTAAAGTAAAAGTGAAAACATTACTATGTGGGAGTCTAGAGGGATTCTCATACTATTCTTGAAACTTTCCTGTAAGTCTGAAGTGCTGTCAAAACAAAAGCTAGAAAAGAACCTGGGTGTGGTAGCATACACCTGTAATCCCTGCTACTGTGGGAGGCTGAGGCATGAGGATTGCAAGTTCAAGCCCAGCCTGGGCAAACTAGTAATTGAGCATGAATCTGTATTAGCTTTTTTAAAAAGTGGGGAGGTGATGGGGATGTGTTAAAGCCCTAGGTTCAATATCCAGTACTGTCACACACACACACACACACACACACACACACACACACATACACGCACACACAAAGTGTTTCTCCAGACAGAGGCAGATTTCACTCGTGCTTACAGAACAACTTCCAGGTGAGTGAGAGAACGAGGCCCAGTGGGTGTGCGGCATGGTCCATGGATGTGAACATCTGCCTTGTTGCTCACTCACTACACAGGGAGCTGCCCACAGTGGGCCAGGCCAGAGGGGAAGGAGGCTGGCGTCTACTCCATGCCACTTCCTATGCAGTGCTGTTTGTTTCTTTGTTTGTTTTGGGGCATTGGACCAAAGGGCACTCTACCATGGAGCTACATCCCCATGCTCTTTTTAATTTTTTATTTTGAGACAAATTCTAAGTCACTGAGTTGCCCAGGTGGGACTTGAACTTGTGATCCTCCTGCAGTGTGCTGGGATCACAGGTGTGCAACACCAGGCCTGGTTGTCCACTGTTTTCTAACCCCAGGCACAGCCTCTGATTTCCAGACAGTAACGACATAAACTGGAGCTTCCAGCGGGCAGGCCTCACCATGCATCAACTGCCGCTGCCCCCGGATGAGCTGCTCGCAGAGCCGCTGGTGCTGGCGGCAGTGCTGGATCACCAAGTCCTTCTGGCACAGCAGGGTCTTGCGGCACAGGTTGTCGGCCCGCAGCTCTGTGTTCTCCACCTCCAGCTCATGGGCCCTGCACAGCAGCCGCAGCACCTCCCGCTGGTCCTCACTGGTCACCTGCGTGGGCAGCAGCGTCTCCATCTGGGAGGCCTTCTGCTTGGCCAGGGCCAGCCGCTGCTCCAGGCCAGCCTAAGGGGAGGCAGGGCACTCAGGGAGGATGCAGGCTGATACATGCTTGCTGATGGACAGGTCCGAACACACATAGCTACGAATACATTAAATGCACTAAAGGTCAAGTGATATAGACGTTAAATACACCTCCACAACACCTTCCCAGCATCCCTCAGTTACTGTTTCATTAGATCACACATCCAATCTGCTCAAGGTGACACTGCAAAGTAACCATCACACCACGCAACTCTATCCATTAAGGCTTGGGTCCAAGCTGCCTTGTGAGCCTGGAATCCGGGTCCCAGGAATGGGTCAGATGGCAGCTTCCAGCACACCGAGAAGGCCATGTGCTGGCCACTGCCTTCTTGATGTGTGATCTGTAAGGGACCACTTGAGAGGCTTGGCTCAGCAGCCGCTACCAACATCCTGCTCCCCTGCCTTTCATGCGGCCTCTGCCCAACTCCTCTGACTCCCTGACTGAACAAACAGTTCTATGCATCCATCATGAGGACTGTGTTACCACACAGAACCGCAGAAAGAGCTGTGCCTGACTGTGTCAGATAGTGAGCTGGTTCACCTTTTTATTTTGAGACAGGGTCTTACCACATTGCCCAGACTGGCCTCAAACTTGTGGTCCTCCCTCTTCATCCTCCTAGGGAGCTAGGATTGCAGGCATGCGCCACTATGCCTGGCCTATTCATCTTTAGGTCCCCAGAGTCCAACATGGAGCTGGACACTTACAGCACTGATTTGTTTATTAACTAACTTGTTCATTAACAGACCCAGCAGCCCCAGACCATCCATGTCAGCATCTATATCTGGGTCCTCAAGGGCATGTTTTCTTGCTGGTACATAGCACTAGTTTAAGTGAAAGAAATTTTTCTTATTTTTAAAGGTCAGAGGGAAAAAAATAAAGATCACAGGAAATCCGACTTTTAATTTTGAAGTGAAACTGCATAATCTCCAAATTGCTGCAGGCAGATATAATAATATGAAGACATCCTTGGTTTGGTTACATAGCTTTTAAGTGAAATAAGTGCCTCCTGCTTTTAACAACATGACATCATCAGGCAGTTTGCGCCTCTGCCTGGAAACATAGCCACAAGTGTTTAACTAAGGGCGCAGCAGCACCAGGCTCCCTGGCACTTCCCCTGAAGTCTCCATCGTGCGCCAGCTCTGCCATTTTCTGAATGAGACTATTAAGTAACCAGCTATTATATAAACAGCTCATATAAATAACTAGCTCTTCTCGGGATGAAATTTGTGAAGACTTCCTTCTCCAGAAAGGAGCTTGGATGTGGCTTTCTTCTGGCCCCAGGTCTGCCTACGACTTGCTTAACCAGAATCTGGCAAAGACAGAGCAAACGCCCCTGGAATCGCTTTGCAAACTGGAAAGTACTTGTTCCACGTGAGGGGTTATTGCAAGGGGAAGGAGCTGAAGGCTTTGCCATTCCAGGCTCCATCCACAGAAGGCAAGGTGGGCAGGGGGTCTCAGTGGGACCCATAGTGACACCATTGCCCCATTTCCACACCACTGGTGCGCAGACTCCTGGGGGAGCCATGACTCCACACCGTGGGCCCCAAGCTTTAGGTCAGACCCAGGCCAGGTCTCAGCCAATGGCTCCTGTGCTCTGGGGCTTTGAGACAATTTACCCCGTACCTCCAAGACCCCGTTTTCTCATCTAGAAAGTGGTCCTGACTGACCTCTCCTGCGTGGAGGATGATCACAGAGGAGCACCTGCCCTTGATCAATAAGCTCCGCCCCTGACTGGAACCGTGCGACTCCCCTCCTCTTCACCTTGAGGGCTGAGGTTTTCCGATGCTCGGCTAACAGCAGGTTGACTTCTTCTCTGGCCACAGCCACCTCCTGTGGCTCTGTGGGTGCATCCTCCCCATCAGTCTCTGCCAGCTCCTCTTCCTTCTCCAGCTCGTCCTGCTCCCTCTGCATGTGGAGGTCGCTCTTCTCCCGCTCCCAGCTGCAGCCACAATAGGGGGGTCACAGTGCAAGCCTTGCCCAGAGCTGGGGGTTCTTACAACTCCAGTTTCAGAACCTCCCAGCTTCCCTACACCCCAACACTGGGGATTGAACCCAGGGCCTTTACACTGAGTTACATCCCGAGCCCTTCCTATTTTTTTATTTTGAGACAAGGTCTCGCTAAGTTACTAAGTTGCCCATGTTGGGCTCAAACTTGCAATGTTCCTGCCTCAGCCTCCCAGAGGACTGGGATTATAGGCATGCACCACCACTACCACTCCTGGCTCCAGGGACCTTCTTGACCTCAGATGGCCTCCTTACAAGTGTGGGTATAACAGTGGCACAGAATTGGGTCTTATGATTTTCTCTCCCTTCTCTCTCTCTCATATATATAATATATATATTCTATGTAATATATATAAATACCTCAGTTCATGAACACTTCTGTTTGCAAACAATTCAGTTCACAAACAAAAGCACTTAACAAAATTTTGCTTCTGTTCTGTTCTAAACTCCTTATGGGATGGCAAACACAATCACAGCCATCTTCCCCACACAAACACAAGTGCAGTCATTTTTTCCCAAAATCATAAAACAAGTTGGTAAACCAAGGAACCACTGTTGAACTGTATATGTAATTATATATATATAATTATATACTATAAACTATGTATATATAAACTGTAAACTCTCTCTACATATATAAACTCTATCTGTATCTATCTATCTATATCTGTATCTGTATCTATTAGTTTCCCCTGGGGCGTATTCTCTCCTATGTAACTGTGCCCCGTTGCACCCCAGTTTCTTTACTGTAAAGCTGAGATAATGAGAGACATAGGCCCAGGGCTCTGAGAATGACTGCAGCCCCCTCGGGCTCTGCAAGAGAGGGTGCCATTGAATCCCCACCCGTGGGAACATGGGGGAAAGGAGCGGTATGGCCAGGGTAGAAAGGGACCCAATCATGAGTACACTTCTAAAATTTGAACTTCAATGTAAGTCTTGTGCTGTTTGAGTAACTGAAAAACAAAAGGAAAAGAAAGAGAAAGGCAGGAGGAGTACGGTCACTGTGGGTAGAACTGGAGAACTGGGAGCAGGGGGTGAAGAAGAAGAAATGGGTAAACCACAGTGCTATTTTAAATGTTTCATAAATGGGACCGTGTGTCCTGGGTCATCCAGAGCAGTTGCAGGGGCCACCTGCTGTTCTGGGGCAATGGTTGGCAGTGCCCTGTCACCCCCAAAGACAGCCTGGTGCGGCTGATGAATGTGATGTCTCTCCACGCCCTGCAGAGAGGAGCAGCGGGCAGAGGTGCAAAGGGAGAAGGAGCGGTGGCTTAGGAGATGCACAGCCATGGGCAAACACACATCTCTGAGCCTTAACATCCTCTCCCATGAACACTGCTGATCCTTGCCAACTGGCTCTGGACCCCAGCCTGTGACAGACCAGAGGGACACAGAAGCCTCCTCACCTGGCTCAGCTTAACTACAGCAGGAGAAGAGCCAGGGAGTGGGGACAGGAGTCCTGGCTTGGCCCACAGAGAGCAGAGATGGCTGGACAGAGCAAGAACAGGGGCTCCCTTGTGGCCTCTGCAGGGACACTCACTCTGCAATGGTCAGCAGGTGGCGGGACAGGTCCACGTGCAGTTCGAGGTTGGTGTTCTCCAGCTCCACCAGGCTGTGCCGCATCTCCATCTGCTCCTTAAAGGCCCTGATGAGCTGCGCCCGGATCTTGTTCATCTGCAAGTGGCTCTCGTCTTCTGCATCGTTGGGGGGAACCGTGACTGTGGGCAGGATGGGGTACTATGCCAGGGGCAGGGCCAGCTAAGCTCAGGCTGAGCCCCACATTCACCCACTCAAAATGTCTGGTCTGTGGTAGGACTTGGTATACATGTGTGCATGGATGGAAGATGGATGTATGGATGGATGATAGATGGGTAGATGTATAGATGGATGGAGGGATGAATGGGTGGGAGAATGAATAAATACATTAGATGGATAGATGGATGGTTGGGCAGATGAATGGATAGATGAATGAGTGGATGGGTGGATGGATAGATGAGTGGATGGATAGATGAGTGGGTGAGTGGATGGATGGATGAATGGAGAATGGAGGGAGGGAAAAATGGATGGGTGAGTGAGTGGATGGATGGATGAATGAATGAGTGGATTGATAGATGGGTAGGTGAATAGATGGATACATGGATGGGTGAATAATGGATTGATACATGGATGGGTGAGTGAGTGCATGGATGGATGCACGCATGCGTGCCTGTGTCGATGGATGAGGGTAGATGGGAGGATATTTGTGTGAAAGGAAGTATGTGTGGGTGGGTAGGTAGGTGGGTGGATGGGCAGATGAATGGTAGGTAAGTAGACGGACGGACGGTTGGACTGGTAGATAAATGATGGACTGGTAGATAAATGATGGATTCAAACCTTCTCTTTGCCTGGTTTGGGGCCAGGCCACCTGCATTTGAATTCCTGCATCAGGAATTCACAGAGGGTGAGGCTGGGCTGGCCACTTCAGCTCAGACCTCAGCTTCTCGGAAAAATCCTGCCAAGCCTCACTCAGAGTCTGTCTGCCTCCTGCTCTGATATCACCCTGGCTTCTCTGTCACAGTCCTCTGCATGTCTGTGACGAGGAATATTTTGTGAGAAGTACTTCACATCTGCCTTTCCTGCTAGACTGTGAGCTCCACAGAGCTGGAGTAAATCCATGGTATGTTTCTCGTGGTAAATTCCTAACAGTTGACCAGTAATTAATCAATGGCATTGTGCTTGTGCTGTGCTGGGAATCGGCTCCAAGTCTCATCATGCATGCTGGCCAAGCCCTCCCACTCCAGTGAGGAGCTCCCTCTGGGCCTGCAGTTTGTCATCTAGTGTCTGATTTGAGGGCAGTGGATAAGCCACCCTCTCTCTCTGCACAGCAAGCGGTCTAGATTGGTGAAATAAACTGCGGTGTGTCCAGATGAGTGAGTCACCGCCAGCCATTAACACAAGGTTTTGAGCGAGGTGTGGCGGCACACACCTAAAATCCCAGCCACTCGGAGGATCCCAAATCCGATGCCAGCCTGAGCAACTTAGCAAGGCCGTGTCTCAGAATAAAATAAAGAGGGCCAGGGATGTAGCTCAGCACTAGAGTGCTTACGTAGTATGTACGAGGCCTTGGGGTCAAACTCCAGCCCTGCAAAACATCTATACACATTCAGGGAGCACTTGGAAGCCCACACTTTTTTTTTTTTTTTTGTACCAGGAATCAAACTCAGGACTTTGCGCCATACTTCTTCTTAATCACCTAATGTAGTAGATTCTCTGCAGCACCTCAGTGCTCCCATCAAGTTCCCAATAATCCAACCTGTCACTAACCATAGCACATCCCCTCTGATTTCCCTTCACCTCTGACTCCAACAGCAACCTAAGCCTCTAGGTTGACCAGAGAGAAACAGCACCCAGGTGCACGGGAGGCCATGGCCAGAATGCCCAAGTACCCACCCCAGGACCAAGACCAGCAAACTGAGGTATACCCTCCTGTGTGACAGAGGGTGAGGTGGGGCCAATGTGCAGACAGATGGTCCTCAGACATGGGCCTAGAGAGAAAGCAAGTGGACAACAGTATCTGGGTGTAGTAGCCGCCCCTGCAGTCCAGCTACCTGAAAGGCTAAAGTAGGAGGATTGCTCCCATCCGGGGGAGTCCAGGAGTTCAACACCAGCCTGGATAACACAGTGAGACCCTATCTCAAATAAAAACGGAAATAAAAGGTATACAGGAGGATCGTGCATGTTACATACAAACACTATGCCATTTTATATAGGGACATGAGCATTCAAGGACTTGGGTATCCTGAGGACTCCTGGAACTGATCCCCCCTGGACACTGAAGCACAATAGTATTTACACTAGTACTGTGGGAATATATTCTTGTTACCAAAACTTGACTAAAACATTGTCAAAAGAACCCCTTGGTCCTCGGATCACTCCTCTCCTCCTGTAGCAGTGGCTCTCTCTGACATCCAGCTCTGCGTGGCTATGAACGTGTGTGTGTGTCTAGAGATGGGTGAGGCTTTGTGGGTTGGGCTTTAGATGTTCAAACAAATGGCACCAGACTGTCGCTACTCGTGTCTGAGGACCGTCTGTCTGCACAGTGGCCCCAGCTGGCGCCCAGCCTCAGCTGCAGAGGTATTCGGGGCTCTCTGGTCCCCCCATCACTCTCTGGATACAGATGCTCAGAATGCATCAGGCCCCCAGCCCTTAGGGGAGGAGAAGCAGTGGGACAGAGATGCTGGTCACAGAGTACCGGGGAGGGTGACACAGCTATCAGGGCCCGCAGGAGGCACCCGGCCAATACCCAGCCCTACCTTGAACGTCCGGGATGCCAGGTCCACTTTTGTTCTTCTCTTGCTTTTCAATTTTTGATTTGAGATGCTCAATCTCCCTGCGTAGTTCTGAGATGACGTCCGTGTACTGAGCGATGCGGTAGGAGACGTTCAGCAGGTTGCGCTTGACCTGGCAGAGAAGACTGGTGGCCAAGGTTGGACCCAGAAGAGCTTCCCCTCACAGGGGTGTTTGAGATGGTGTATGAATGTGTTTATGTTGTAAACTCCAAATCAATGCTATTTGGCCTTAAAAAGGAAGCCGTGAAGGTACATACCTATAACCCCAGCATTCTGGGAAGCTGAGGCAGGAGAATCGCAGGTGAAAGCCCAACCTAGGCAACTTAGTGACTAAGTGAGAGTTTGTCCCAAAGTAAAAATTTAAAAAAGGGGTGTGGATGCCAGTCAGTGTGAAGGCCCTGAGTTGAATCCCCAGTACCGTCCCACCATATACGCGCGCGCACACACACACACACACTCACACACACACACAGGAAGGCCATTCTGATTCACACTGTAACCTAGGCAAAACTTGAGTCAAGAACATTGGACTCAGTGAAACAAGCCAGGCAAGAAGAGCAAATACTGCAGGATTCTGCTTAAGTGGGGTGCCAGTCTCATCAAATCCATGGACACAGAAAGCAGAATGGTGGGAGTGAGGCTGGGAGGGCTGGGGAGTGAGAGTTTAATGGGTCAGTGTGGGAAGAGAGAAGGTTTTGTGGATGGTGACGGCTGTGGAACCATGTGAATGTGCTTAATATCATTGCTCAGTGCACTTTAAATGCTAAAATGGAAGATTTCAGGCCACATATATTTTACCACAGTAAAACATTCAAATAATCCATTGAGAATTATTTAAAAATCCTCTCACCAGTTATTCCTGTCATTTTGACGTGTGTCTTTCTAGAGCCTCCCAAGCAGTTTTGTACACATTTATGTGTCTAGAGAGGTTCGTGGTCTGTATCTTAATTGTGTAGGGCTGGGGGTCCAGGCTATAGATACTTTTTTTGAGATAGGGTCTTCTTCCATTGCCCAGGTTAGCTTCCAGTTTCTGAGTTTTAGTAATTGTCCTGCTTCAGCCTCCTGAGTAATTGGACTACAGGGGCATGCCACCATGCCCAGCTCCTGCTCCTCCACTTGACTTCTCCACAACCTCATGTCTGGAGACCATCTGTCTGTACACTGGCCCCACCTCGCCCTCTGTCACATAGGATAGTGTGTCCCAGCTTGCTGGTCCCAGCCCCGGGGTGGGCCCTTGGAGTGTTCTGGAGCATTCTGGCCACGGCCTCCCGAGCACCTGATTGCTATTTCTCTCTGCTGGATGTGGAGGGTGAGAGCAGTCATGGAATGCGTGCACGGTAAGCTCAGCAGCGGTTGCGCAGTTGCTTCCATCTGTACACCATATCTCATCCCCTGGTCCCAGCTCCCATGTCACCTTGACTCGAGGCCTCGCCTGACTTCCTCTGACTGCAAGGCCTTCTAACTCAGGCTCTGTTGTTTCCCTGTAGCAGCCCAGGGTTCTCCTCCGGAGCACTGACCACTGCGTGAGTACGAGAAAGCACTGCCTCCTCTCTGCCCTGAAGCTGCCTCTCTGTGCTTTCATTGCTGATGCTCAGCTCAGAGCTGGGCACTAGGAAAGGCTCCTCATGGGCTTGTTAACCAATGACGAGAGCAGGCACGGTGGTGCACATATCTAATCCCAGCACTCCAGGAGGCTGAGGCAGGAGGATCACAAGTTCGAGCTCAGCCTGGGCAATTTAGCAACTTAGCGAGAGCCTATCTCCAAAAGGAGCTCGCGCTATAGCTCAGTGTAAAGGTTCTGGGTTCAAGCCCAGTACCGAAAAAAAAATATGATAATTATGATAACTCCTATCATTTGCTGCCTGCTAACTAAGTGTCAGCCACTATACTAAGCTGTAACATGCACCATCTCACAGAATCCTCAGGCCTGAGAGACAGAGCCTTTGGACTAAAGGAAGCAGGGTAGACAAACAGCCTGGCAGGTGCACCAGGCCTCTGGCTCCCATGCTAGCTGCAGGAGGTGGGAGAAGTTGCTTTATCCCTCCCTGTAAAGCGGGGATGATAACAGGATCCACCTCCGAGGGCTGCTGTGAGAATAAAATGGAGTAAACCACAAGCAGAGTTTACAGCCCTGCCTGCCACACAGAAAGAGGTGGCCACGACCTCACTCCAGGCCTGGGAATGTGATCTTACTGGGGAAAACAGCTTTTGCAGATATAATGAAGGACCACAAAATGGATGAGGGTGGCCCTAAATCCAAAACCAAGTCCTTATGCAAGAAGAGAAGAAAAAAAAAAAAACCAAAGAGAAGAATCAGGCACAGTGACATATGCCTGTAATCCCAGCACTCTGGGAGGCTGAGGCAGGATGATCACCAGTGCCCACCCAGCCTGGACAACTTACCCTCGTCTTGATGTTCTTGGCCCTGTACGCATAGAGCAGTGTGGTCCGTGACTCTTCAAAGCTGCTGCTGGCCGGGCTGATGTGTGCAATCATCACCGTGTGGCTGTTCCCTCCCAGGGCATCCTGCTCGGGTGGAAGCGCTGAGCCAGGGTGATGGGAGTGGCCCGGGGTGCCAGCCTTCCCCCAGCCACCACCAGGCCCACCTCCAACCAGCCCTAAGAAGGACAGCTGATGCCAGGAGGCTGGCGCCAGTGTTCCAGGAGGGGACCCTCGGGATGATGTGGGACCCATCCCAGGCTACTCAGAGCCTTCTGCTCTGATGAGAACGGATTACACCAAGAAGTAGAGTTTATAGGGACATTGAATTACCGCTTCGCCTTTGTGTCTCTCCTTGCTGTAGAACAAGGTGACAATATTTACCTCAGTACAAAGAGAACTTTTCTCACATCAGAGCCCTTATGATGGGACTGGCAGCTTCAGGGAGGTAGTGGGCTCCCTGTCACGGGGGGGATGCAAGCAAAGCTGGATGATACTCAGGGGGGTAGGGGTGGAGACAGGCTGCGACCACAGATTGCCTCTGTGGTGTCCTCCGGCTTCAGGAGGTTCCCGGAAGTGCCTGAGACTCACTCATGTGCGGGCCTTGTCCCCACACCTGGCGAGGGAGAGCACCCACCTTCAGCAGGCGCGTGAGCTTGCTGTCCCGGAAGTTGACGTACTGCCCTCGGCCGCCCTTCTCGCTGAGCGCGTTGATGCAGTTGCCCAGCGCCAGCAGCGAGCGGTTGATGTGCGCGCCCTCCTTCATTCTCTTGCCGCGGTTCTGGGTCTGTTGGAGAGGCCGGCTGAGCACAGGACCCGTGTCCCACCCCACAGCTACCGCACCCTGCTCCCATGGTAGACCGGCCCATCTGCTCTGGTTTCCCAGGGACCCCAACATAGAGCCTCATGGAGTGGGGGGTCTTCCTGGCAGAATGTGGCCTCTGGTGCTTTCCCTGATGTCCCTCAGGCCCCCAACTCTTCACACTCGGCGTTTCCCACCCGCTGCCCACGGAACACAGGCCCTGTGAGCACACAGCCTGTCCCTTGCTGGCCCTGGGTCCCTGGAGCCTGGACACCTGCAGGTGCCTGGCCACAGCAGTGCTCGACTGCCCACAAGTGCCAGCAAACACTTGGCACTTGGACAAGGTGGACGAGGTCACAGGCAGAACCAGGTGGGCAAAACCCAAAACCCGAACTGCCGCTGGGCAAACAGCCTCACGGTTTGGTGACAATGGCAGGGATGGGCCTTCACTTTCTTCCTTTTGCTTCTCCGCATCTTCCAAATTTTCTGCACTTTATTATGTTTGAAATCAGGCAAGGATTATTGAAGCTTCCTTTTTAAAGGTGAGGGTTTGTTTTAGAGCCTGTCAGGCACATGGCTTGAGAACAGCTACAACTACTTATTGCAGACAAATCTCCCAGTCTGTCTCAGCCTCCTTATTTCCTCATCATGTTTTGCAGAGGTGTGGAAGGGTGTCACAGGACAGCGTGGGTAAAGGTCAGCACAAGCCTGGCAGGGTGGCACTTGCCTGTAACCTGAGCATTCTAGGAGGCTGAGGCAGGAGTGTCACAAGTTGGAACCCATTAATTAATGAGGGCTACAGATGTACCTCAGTGGGGAGGGCCAAGTTCAGTCCCCAGTACTGTACACAGAGAGGGCGCATAAGCAAGCTGCAAACACTAGCTGCTGCCAGGCTGCTGGAGTGACCAAGCCAGGGGCAGTCACTACTGTGTCACGTGTCTGTGTCAGGATAGGAGATTTCCTGGAGACCTTGTGCCCAGAACAAATTTTTATGAGACATTTTCTGCGAGAGCCAAGTAGACCCCAAAGATAGCACTAGGTCACTGGATATACAGCTCAAGTCCCAAGGCCCAGAGAGGGCGACCGGCCTGCCCAAAGCCACACAGCAAGTAGAAGAAAGTGAGAGCAGGGGCCTAGGACCCAGACCCAGTTGTGGTGCTGTCGCCTGAACCAAGCCCTGGCCAGGCCAGTCTGGTCTCCACTGCTTCCTGAGGATGGCACCTGCCCACGGACCAGCACCATCTGCCCCGTGGTGCTCGGCTCCTCGGCGATGCTCCCGCAGCTGTCTGCATACCAGCTATGCCTTCCGTACTCTGTGCTCTGGTGCTGGGACATCTCAGGGTGTTCTGACATGGAAGGACTCCCCTCCCAGCTCAGCCAACCCTAGGATGGCAAATGACCCACCTGCAAGCCCACCTTTCACCTGCATGCCCGCCCCGCAGAGCCCCCTCCACAGCCCCCTGGCTCTGAGCACTGCCGAATCACACCATCCTGAGTCACTCGGCCGTGCCGTGCCGTCTGCTGGGCACAGTGCTGCCCTCCTGGGATGGCACTGGTGCGTGCTAAGTGCTGGGTACACTGGAAGGTGTGACCAACGTCACTTACTGGTGACCTTGTTCTGACACTGGCTCTGTCAGCTCCTTCTTGGTCCCTGGCCCTTGGTCGGGTCCCTGCACTCAAGGACTGCTCAGGCCACTGGTCCCATAGCCAAGGAGCCCCACACCCACACCCAGAGACAGGAAGAGCAATGGTGGTGAGCCTCCCGGGGGGCTTGGGGCGGCATACTTGGTGAGTGCCTCTTCCGTGCCAGGCGCTGTTCCAGGCATGGAAGGCCTGGTCAACAAGGACTGGCAAAGTCCCAAGGGAGTGGGCGTGATGACATCTGACGGGCCACACCTGGGAGGCACGCTCTGAGCCGGCCAGGTCCACCATGAACAGCCTGCCAAGGTGCACTTCCTCCGCCAGGTCTGGGCCACGCCACCGCTGGCGCACCGTCACCTGCAGCACTGCGTGGGAACGTGAGGACGTCTTGTTGGTGGCCGTGGGCTCCTGTGTGCGCTGCCGGTTGCCCCTGGTGAGGAGCTGCATGATCTGAGGACAGAGGCAGAAGGGGGTGGTCAGGGTATGGGAGCGGCCAGGTGTGCATTCAAGGAACACCCAGAAAGAGGAGGAGTGGTGGTGCTCTAAGCACCCCGCCAGACGGGGGCAATTAGTGGTTGGCAGCAGGAAGTGATTCAAAACTCAGTCACATGTGGCCAAGCAGAAGCGGCAGATTTCTGACGCCTGCAGTAGCTCTTCCTATCCTCCACCCACAGCAGACATCACCAGTGGATCCCCCACCTCTTCTCCGCAGAGCCCAGAGCAGTCTCAGATTCCAGGCAGCTGCAGAGTTGCTGGGGTTGGCTGGGTGGGGGGCTGGAACCCATCTGTCAGGCAAGCAGCTGTAGAACTCAGGCCAGGAAGCGCCTGCTGAGCTCCCGCTGTGTACATCCCCACGCTAGGACTTCGAGGTACATGAGGAGAGACTGAGAACAGAAGGCGGCATCCCCAGCAAGCCCACAGTGGGACGTGAAGGGCTGGTAATGACGGAGCTGGACCAACTCGGCCATGCATACAGGGCAAGGGCTGAGCGCTGAGTCAGTACTGACTCTGGAGGTGAGAAGGAGCCAGCGGACTCCCTGGGCAGGAGGAGGCCCGCCCTGAGGGCGTGTCAAGTGTGGGCTGGCGCATAGACTGGAGGCAGAGAGAAGATGGAGCTATGGATGTGTCTGAAGCTGGCCCTTGGTGAAGGAGTGACCATTAGGTCAGGGTGACCCATCCAGATCTAAGGGGTTGGGACTGCCTGGCGCGCTGCATTGAGAGGCCCAAGCCTATAGCAGGTGGCCTGGGTGGGGGGTATGGTGTGGGTCCATTAGTGATGTCTGCCCTGAATACTAGTAGAGGTGGTCACCATAGAGATGATCGCCATTCCCTGAGCTCAGATCCCAATACTGGAACCCACTATGGAGCTGCATGTTGGTCTCTGCTCAGCAAAGTTGAACCAGAACTTCGTGAGCTGCGGGGTATGGCTGACCCTCACCTCTTGGGCATTCAAGGTGGAGACCTCTGTGATGCCAGCAATCTGGATGTTGCCCCTAGAATCTTCTCTCAAGTCCAGAAACCCAGAAGATGGGTTCAGGAGGTCCCGGATCACTTCATTATAAATCTGGAGCAGAACAGAGAGGTGGGAACAGAGGTTTGGTGCAAAGAGCCCCTTCCATACCATGGGGCCTTGAGCTGCTGGAGAAACAGGCTGAGGCTTTGCACAGGCTGTCCGCACATGGGTAACACACAGGGCTGGGGCCTCACATACATGCTTATGTCTCTAGCTATTGCGCCCATTTTGCAGACAGGGCAGTGGAGGCAGGTAGGCAGGCTCACCTCAAGGTAAGACATAGACACGCTATAGTCCATGTTGTCCCGGGTCTCCTCAATGGCCTGGAAGAGGTCAGTGAGGGTCCGCAGATAGATGCCAGGCTCTGTGTCCATACCCAGCATGGTGTGTGTCTTCCCTGCACCTGCGGGAGACATGGGCTCCTGAGACAAGCTCAAATGTGCTGTTTTGCAGTGAGAGAATTAACATATCTCCATGGGTAAGGAGTGCCTGTCCACAGCAGGTGCTTCACCCCCTCACTCTCCATTCCATGAAGATGAGGACCCAGCTGCTCTTTCCTTCAGAGTCGGGCTCGTACTAGAACTCACTGACGTGCACGCGCATGCTGAACAAGTAAAATGGACAAACACTGCTACTCTGGACAAGCTACCTCCCTTGTCTCCCCGTCTGTGCAACAGCAGAACTAGGGCGGGGCCTGTCAGGCTCTGATCCTCTTTGGTTCCACTTCTGAGGGATGGGAAAGGTAGCTTAGGTCTGCAAATGTTGATTGAACTCAACTTAGACTCAGAGAAGAAATCTGTGCTTCTCATGGGTAGCAGAGTGCGGGCTTGGGTTGAATTCCAGAATCACACCAGGACCTTGTGGAAGTCACTTTATCCCTGGGCTTACTTCTCAGCTGTGAGCAGAGTTAATCCCCCCACCTCTCAGGGTGGCTGAAAGGAAGCCAGGGCCCGGCATGTAGACTCCTGTGCTGTTAAGGTTCCTCTGCCACCAACCCAATTCCCTCCTGGGGACGCTGTGCCGGATGGTACCTGAGGGGCCGTAGGCAAACACCGTTGCATTGTATCCAGAAATGACACCCTCTACCAAATGTTGGATGGTGGCAGAGTACACGTCTTCCTGCAGACAGACAGAAGGACAAGCAGTCAAAGGATGTCCAGCCTGAGTGGGCAGCCTGGCTGCTTGGAGGGGACAGTGAGGTGGTGGACAACGTGGTGTCCCCCTACACGTGCACGGCACACAGAGGACAGAGCTCAGTTAGGTTCCCACCCCAGTCCTGTCGCTGGGCTACTTTGGGCACACAGCCTCCCCATGCAGAGCCTTGTGCTGTAAGATGGTGGTGAACTCGATCGAGCCTGGTTTCGAGGGTTAAACACAAAGGCGCATGACAGCTGCCACCATGAGGCCTGACACACCCTAGCAGTGAGCACAAGCGATTCTCTCCCAGGGCGTCTCTGCAGGAGTCAAGAGGCCAAAAAGGACACAAGTTTCTGGAAGGAGCGGTGGCTTGAGAGTCTTTTCTTGAAGAGTATGATTCCTCTTTTTCATTGCAGTACTACAGATAGCCTCAGGGTGTCACTCATGCTAGACAAGCCTTCTACCACTGATCTACACTCCGGCCCTTTGAAAAAATTTTATTTTGAGATAAGATCTCACTAATTTATCCAGCTTGGCCTTGAACTTGCAATCCTCCTGCCCCAGCCTTCTGAGTAGCTGGGACTACAGGCATGCGCCACCACGCCTGGCTTCATGGACCCATCTCTATGGGCCAAAACTGGGACTCAACACAAGCAATCTGGGGCTCACAGGATGTGGTACAAGACTACAATAACTAGCAGTGGGATGTGAGGGTAGTGAGCTCCCTGCCCACCAGGGAGTTCAAAGAGAGATACCATCAGGGCGGGTGTATGAGGCATGCAGGTTCAGCTGGCCTGACAGAGCAGCAGCCCCCACCTCCTGGGCACCTTCTCTGGGTCCTGCTCGTGAAACTGCTGCAGTTACTGCTCCTCTGGGACCCCAAAGCCGGCACTGTCTCTCTCTCCCTGTGGACATCCGAGGCCTGGGCCTGGTTAGGTCTCTATGAGACCACAGGCAGGAAGCCAGGCCTTTCCACACAGGTAGAGTGGGGATCTGGGCCCGTGTATTCTGCAAGGTCACTGCAAGGGCCCTAGAACAAGGTATGCACAGCACTGGCTCACAGTAGCTCCTGCATGAATGCTAGTGATTGGACCCCCCATACCCTTGATGCCACTAGGACCTCAATGTGAGAAAAACCAACTTGCTCAGACAGCAGCTGGGACTGCACTGCTGTGTAATGATGTGGAGTGCTGACCCAGGGGCATACTCTCTGGTCCACCAGCATCCCTGCTGAAGGGGCTGTTGGGGCCCAGCTGGCAGACTCAGTATGCTGGCTGGTGGAAGAAAGAGTGGCAGGTTGAAGAGGTTATAGATTCTTCCCCTTCTCCTCAGAAGGGCCCAGTCTGATCTCCCACCCTTGAGCCTGGCCAGCCCTGGGCACTGCTTGACCGTGAGGTGTGCACAGGTGGTTCTGTGCCAGCTGGCTCTAGGGTCCACCTCACCCTCTTGCACCTCTAAGGCCAGCATGCTGCAAGAAAACCCGTGCTGCACAGAGAAGGTACAGGTGGTCTCCTGGCAGATCACCTGAACGAGCTGCCAGCCAATGCCAGAACCTACTGACGTCTGAGTGAGTGGACCACTGGGGACACCCAGTGGATGGTGTCCAGCCTCAGTGTCTGAAAGTCTGCCCAGCAGAGCCTGCCAACCCACAGAGTGGGAGATCACAACAGACGGTGGTGGAAAGCTGCCCTTGTCCGAAGGGATGCCTCCCACCCAGTCACACCAGGCCTGGGCTGCTCAGTCAGGTTTGGGACTGACTTTCTACTTCTCTACCAGCAGGAAACCACTGAGGTGGGGACACTGAAGTGAGCACAGGGTCCCACAGCCTTCACTGGGCCTTGACTCCAACAGATCACCTTGTACCCTGGCTCAAAGGCCTGGGTTCAAATCCTGTCCTTAGTCTCATAGCTGACCTTGGCTCCCCTCTGGGAGGTGGAGCATACAGGCCCCACAGGGAGGCTCCAGTGACATGGGGGACAACATGGGTCCTCAGTCGAGGGTGGCACTGGTGGGAAGGATAAGGACGAGCAGGACTTGATACTGGCCTGAACACCCAGCTTGGCCTCACTGTGACCTCTGGAGCCTTGGTGCACAGCTAAGAAATGGGCTGGACCCTCCTTCCTGGCCCCACAGCTGGCTCGTGCCCCTTCAGGTCTCGGTGTGGATGTCCCTGCTCACAATGGCCTTCGCCAGCCACCCCACACCAAGCTTGATACACTGAGCAGCACCGAGAGTCCTCTGCTGTCCTCAGCCTGCCTGCGACTCGGGCTGCAGCTGGTCTCTCCCTCGGTACACAAGAGGGCCCCCTTGTGGAAGGGAGTGAGTGACTGAACTAAAGAGAAGCCCCCTGCCGGCCCGTGCTTGGGAGGGCTCGCATTCCTGTCCCTGGTTGGCTTTCCAGCCTGTACCTCCTTCCTCATGGGGACCCTGAGAGAAGGTGGGTGACTCAAGTGAGCTGGGGAAGGTGGGCAAGTGGGCACCTGTGACGAGTGCTGGTCAAAAACCATGTCAAAGATGAAGGTGCGCTCCCGAGACCGGTGTGCGCGAAGGGTGTCCTCAGGGTCCTCACCAGGGTCCATGAGTACAATTGCCTGAAAAGGAGGGGACGGAGGAGGGCTGGTCAGAACCCCTCGCAAAAACAGGCTCAGCCCCCATGCTGAACCAGGCCAGGGTAAGACCTGGATGTGAGGGCGGCTGTGGGCCTCTGCACTGGAGCCCGCCCACCCAGCAACCCCTCCACTCCCCTTCTGCCAGGTAGCAGCCCCTGCTCCTGCACCCTGAGGCAAATGTGAGCTCCGCAGCCTGCTGGCTCTGCCGCCGCATTCACAGCACACCCATCAATGTCTGACAAACCACGGCTGGCCAGGAGGGCAACTGGTAGAACCCTGCCCAGCACAACAGGCCAGCGTCAGCAGTGACTCTCCCGGGGCCCAGGCCCCACAGTGACAAAGCCTGCCCTGAACCAAGGAGACAGGGGAGGAGGAGGAGCTCTGTAAGCTGTGGGTGCTGGGCTGGCCACCCACTCCTGTGCTCACCCCACACAGCAGCCCCACAGCTTTTCAGGGGGAGAGGGACAGCCCTCGCACAGGCAGGGAAAAGAAAGGGATTCTGGCAAACCCTCCATCGTGGCTTTGTTCCTCAGGGCCCGGGGCCCCTGGGGTGTCTCCCATCCCATAGAAATATGCAATTATGAAGCAAAGTGTAGGAGGCTCTCTGGGGACAGAGCACTGAAAGGAGTCCTTCCTAGGGAATTGGGGGGCATCTAGATCACAGTGTAGCCTGCCTGGTGGGACCTCAGGGGCTGGGGGCCTCTGGGAGGACCACAGAGTTGGGGAGCATGGCAGGGTGGCACCAAGAGCATGCCATCTGGCCACCAGCTGGTCCCTTTTAGTCAGAGCTTTGGAAACTGAGCTGGAGGGCCAGAGTCTGGAGAATTTCTTGGGGAGTCAATGCCAGGCTGCACCCAGATCCCCAGGGCTGCTCCTGGCTGCTGGCCAGCTCTTGTTCCATGACGTAAGCTGCCTCTGCTTGCCTTCTCCTTCCAAGGCCAGGAGCAGGGGACAACACAGGCAGCCCTGGGTGTGCCCATGGTGGGCAATGCCTGTGCTGCAGGAGAAATTGGACCGGCCTCCAACTCAGTGGAGCTAGTGATCACACCACGGGTTCTGGAGCCCCGAAGCCAGGTTTCCCAGCATAGCTCCATGACTCGCCAGACAGGAGGCCTCGGACAGGTCACTCGGCCCTAAGCCTCAGTTTTTTTCCCCTGTGAAAAGGCAGTGATCATAGAATCCACTGCCAAGGGGCTGAGAAGGGTGAATGGGATGGCCCCTGAGCCCTGAGTACTCAAAAATTTACCAGCTGCATTGGATGCTTGGTCACAAAAATACTTCTTTCTTTTGTTAGAAATAAATTATTGAAGCCAGGTTCAGGTGCACATGCTCTGTAATCCCAGCACTTTGGGAGGCTGAGGCAGGAGGATCACAAGTTAGAGCCCAGTTTGGGCAATTTAATGACTTAGTGAGATCCTGCCTCAAAATAAAAATTTTAAAAAGGGTTGGGAAGAAAGGAGTCAGTATGCGGGGGAGAGGGTCATGTCAAGTTACAGTAGGGCAGGGTTATAGTGTAGTGCGATGTCAAATCCCGACACAGTAATGTGGGAGCCCTATAGTGTTTCTGCAACTTTGTAATTGGTCTGAAATCATTTCAAGATAAAAAGTTACAGGAAAGTGTGAGCGTGTCACAACATAGATGAGCCTCAGTAACAACAGGCTATGTAGAAGCTACTCTCAAATGGCCACACACTGTGGGGTTTCACAGATATCAAACACCCAGAATTCAGATAGAAAGCAGACAGTGGCTTCCAGGGGCCATGTTGGGGGATATGACAGCTCAGTGGGAGTGGGGTCTCTGGTTGGGTGATGAAAATGTTGTATGACTAGCAGAGTGAACTACACAGTCAGTCTGTGTGGTGTAAAACATACCCTGCTAAAGACTGAGCTGGCTTCTTATAGCCCTGCCCTGCCTGCTGGCACTGAGCGCTGGCCTCGTCTTTGGGGTGTCTCACCCTGTTGGAACATGGGTCATGTGTGCTGTGCTCCTGTCAGGTCTCCTGTCTCCCTACTTGACGCTGACAGATGATGACAGCACCCTCCCCAGAGCCACATTTCACTCGCACGCACGGAAGGCAAGCAGGAAAATCCAACCCACGGAGCATGCCTCCCCCCACCCCTCCCCAAATTCTGCATTATTCTTGCAAGTGACAGCCAAAGGCAAATGCTTCCCTAGCTGTGGGTAGCTCAGGGAACCACCTGGGTGGGGCTCTGCCACAGATCTAGACCTAGACCTGGACCTGCCAGCTCTGTCCTCCCCCCTTCTCCTCCTGCTCTCAGGGCTCCTGAGGTCAAGCCCACCTGCACAGTTTTCCATGTCCCCTGCTCTGTTCCAGGGTCCCACCAGGCCTTCCTACACCACAGCAGCGGTGTGGGGGTGGGGCATCATCCTGGCTCCACCCATGTCAGAGCGTTTGGTAAACGAGAAAAGCACGCATAGCAGCTGAGCCTCACAGCTGCTCCACCATGGACCTGCCCCTGGCTCTGCCTCACCTGGTCCCCTAGTTTGTGGGCGATGATGGTGGCTCCTTCCTCCAGTTCAGCTTCACTGAGCGGGCGGATCCGAAGCGCCACCTGTGGGCAGGACGCGAGCAGCGCGTTTGCAGGCATTCTTCCAAGGCAGTCCCTCTCCCCAAGACCCCAACTCTGCCTGGCTCTTCCTCTTGGAGAAGCAGTGAAGGGCCAACCCCTGGTCCTGTCCTAACTCCTCAACACTTGCCGGAAGTTGCTTGTGCTCCCCAGCAATGCTTTGAGGAACACAAGCCTTGTCACCTTCTTCATTGAACACACAGCACACTGAGGCAGAGGGGTAAAGTAACGTACCCCAGGCCACATAGCTGCAGAGGGAACTTACCACCTGGCCAATACTGAACACCAGAAAGTGCACACCAAGCTCCGCTCATCGGGCCATCAGAGAGCACTTTGGGAAAACACTGTCTACCAGGAGAAAAACTGTAGGCCGTCCATGGTCTTTACCTGGCTGCCCTCTATCAAGGGGGCCAATTGAGGCCCTGGGGTTGGATGATGTATGAGCTGTAGCTGCTCACACTGGTCTCTGACTGACTGGGCTACAGGCTTGGGGCAAGTCCCTAGTTCACCCCAACGTCAATGAGGCTAAGGATCCAAGTCACCCAGCTGTAGGTGCCTGCCCTCATCTGGGGTCCTGGTGCAGCCCCTGAGGTTCCCAAGAAGTGGGGCTCACAGGGCAGGGGGGTGAGGAGGGGGTAGGGTGTTACTAGGCCCCAGTGAGGGAAAGCTAAGAAACAGAGGACCTGCCCTGAGGGCACAGGGCTGGGAATGCTCCACAGAGGACACAGGTAGCTGGGAGGGAGGGATGCTCACCATGAGCTGTTGATCCTTGGGCTCCATCTCCCTGAAGGCTGGGCTGCCCCGGGCTGGGGAGAAGCCAGTGGTATTCTGGGAGGGCATGGTGCCAACCAGGACAGCCCCTTGCTACACTGGCTGGTGCTTTCTGCTAGCCTGGCAGAGGCGGAGGCAAGGAGACCTATCTCAGCTCACCTTGCCCCGCCCCATGACATCAGCTGAATCCTTGGGGAGGGGGAAGCCAGGGCCACTGAGAGCTTGTTTACAAACCTGGTGTCGCCTCTAACCCTCTCTGCAGTCAGGACAACCCACTCCTAGGTAAGTGGGCCCCAGGCAGTGGGGCAGACCTCCTGATCTGATCTGCCCAGGACAGCCATGGCCAGAAGCCCAGGGCAGCCTTCCTGCCTGTGCACGCCGCCAGTGCCAAGCGACCTGGGTGCCACAGGCCTCCCTGTGCACAGCTGATCCCACTTGCCACCTGCCCTGCACATGGACTTAATCTGTTCTTTGCAGTGCAGAGCCCTTCTCCACTTGAGCCCCAGATGGGTAGCCACAGGGTCACCTGAGACATTGTCTGCCCCGGAGCTACCTTGTCATCTCAGGTCCCAGTGGCCTTGCAGCTTTCCCATTCAAAGGAACAAATAGCAACTGCAAATGTCAGACCATATTGTGAATTCATTTTTCCAGATGCCTTTCAAAGCAACCTTGAGATGACCTGCTTGAGCTATTTAGATGCAATTTCTAAGCCTTTCTCTGGCCCTTCACACTCATGGCCTGATTAAGGATTGACCAGGTGTATTTGCTGCTGGGCTCTTTCCACTGCACCCCTGGAAGAAGGTCCTGCCCCAAAAACCTATCCAGCCAGGCACGCAAGTAACAAGGAACCAGGGTGGTGCCTGTATTTTGCTCTTGCATTTTGACAAACTATCACAAAACCTGGATCCAGGAAGCCCAGACCTCAGCCCACTGCCAAAGCTTCCAACCACAGCTGCGAAGACGGCAAAGGCAGAGTGGGGATGGACTCACTCAAGGTCACTAAGCCTGCAGTCTCACCCAACAGGAAGGACCCTGCCTCTTCCTTTGGGAGCCAAATTGGAGTTTAACCTTAAGAAGGCAGCACCATGCTTGGCCGCATTCTTCTCTTCCTTGGTGTCCAGATCGATGCTGGGCATCAGAAAGTCGTTGCCACCCCGCCACTGTCCATGTCCCTCAGCCTCCTTCCGAGAAACAAGGCTGAGGCCTGGGTGTTGGGTGCTGGAGAACCCAGGTCTGGGGTTCCAGCACTCTCCTGATGGCCTCAGGGCCCCTGGAGACAGGCCCTGCAGGGAGGCCTAGGCCCACCCAACACCTGAGCCCCCGGACACCCACCCTCTCACTCAGGAGCCAGGCACAGGGCAGGTCAGGATCTTCCCCCGCAGGAAGCTGCCCTGGGAAGTCCATCTCTACTGCAGAAGAGAGCACGCACCAGTGTTTGAGAAATTCTTTTATTTACAAATCACATAAAACAATTACAATTGAGTTTAGAACAATGAAAAACTTCTGAAAGCTATTCAAAAATCTGTATACCTTTTTTTCCCACTGCCATAAAGTTGGAAAAACAGCACATTTAAAAAACATGGTAATGACCAAGAATCTTATAAAATGTGTGCTGAAGGGGATGGGATGGGCCAAATGCCAGGACTCCGACAGTGACAGAATCAGAGGAACCAGAGGAAGCAGAGCTGAAGATGCGCAAGGAAAAGCACCAAGCGTCCCTCACTTGGGGATCAGCCAGGAGGCCCCGAGGAGCCCATAGCACAGCCTCACTGTGAGGCCATCAGCACAGCATTTCAGGGGCTTCTCCAGGCCCGCACTGGGCTGTCCGCTGCCTAAAACTGCAACTGTCCTGTGAGTTTGAGCAGGCCGTGAGCCTGCCATGTCCTTGCCGCAGATCCTCAGTGCTTGTGGCTTCCAGCACCGTAAGATGCAGGGGAGTTGGGGAACCAAACTGCGCAGGGCAGGCAGCGGTAGCACTGTGGGCGGAACTGAGCCCAGAATAGGGCTGCTCCTGCCCTTCCCAGAGAAAGAAGCTCACACGCAGAATGACAGTGCCTGAACTGGCACCCTCACCACGAACTTTCCACCTTGTCTCACGGCGAAGTTCGAAGGGTTTTCATCAGGTGAAGTGACATGTGTTTCTTCAAAAAAAAAAAAAAGGAAGGAACTCCACTTTGGACCCAGTGGACTAACTTGTGGCCAGAGACGGCAGAGCAGGAGCAGACTCCCCAAGCTGGCAGCCATGAGGGTCCCTGTAGGGCACTATGTGTGCCAAGGGACAGAAGGTGCCATGCTCAGGCTGACCAAAGACCCTTACCACTGGGGAGGGGACAGGCACCAGGGTCAAGGCCACGATCTATGTGCAAACAAAGGAGAAAGACAGCTTGTTCATACAGGTTTGCTTTATTTCCACGGTCAGCCTGCCAAGAGGACCTGCCACCCCCAAAGGGCAGGCACAGGCAGTGCTTCCTGGACACCTGGTGGGCACCTCCCTGCTGGTCTCCAGGATGCACCTGACATGGGCCCACGCAGGGGCAAGTCCTCGAACACAGTTACCAACCACTCAGCTGCGGCGACCCCTGTAAACAACACCACAGCAGGAGAGTAGCCACAGGAGCACTGCAGCGGAGTCCAGGTGCAATCATGGCGGTGGCGACATCCAAACAGGAGAAAGTGAAAGCAGTGCCTAAAACTGCCCACTGCGGACACCAGGGGTTAAAGGCACAAAATCGTGTCGTGATGGAAGGGTCCCAGGTGCGTTCACAGTCCAGAGTGAAAGAAAGCACAGGTAAAAACCCAGGAGCTGTGCAGGCCTTCTGCAGGAGGGCCTCAGCGACCGGGCCCAGCACGGTGACCTGAAACAGGAATCGCTGTTTACTCTCCATCCTGATGCAGAGGACTCACAGCAGGGGCACCCCTGGCCTGCCTGACAGCAGGCACGGCGGCCATGGCACTAAGAGACCTGCTTCGGTCTCGAGGACCACAATGACCCCCAGCATGGAGCCAGCTGCAGGTATGTAACCCACTATTTGGCTCAAGACAGAGACAGGCGGTACCTGAGAACCGTCAGCCACATGGCTTTGGCTTAGCCCTCCCTCCCTCGTCCCCAGAGCCCCGGGATGCACACGGCTGCACTTCCACTCAACAATGGCTGGTGACAGCCAGCACAGAGTCACAGCTGCTGTGCCCATCCTCCTTCCTAGAGAACAGCTTGAGGGAGACCCTAGCAAAGCCCCCTGGAGCTGGCCAGGCCTGCTGCTGTCTTTTCCCTGGCACTTCACATCAATTGCCAAGGTCTCTTTGGCCATGGCTCCTTTTTTAACCAGTCACCTGCTTATTTGCCAGTGCCACCTCCTGACCTGGGAGTGGCTCTGCACATCCTCGTCACATTCCACATACAACACTGCACCAGCCTTGCGTCCCTGGAGCTGGACTGCTGCTCTTATACAGGTATCTGATACTTCTCAGGCCAGGGGAGGCAGCAGGAAACACCACTCCACAGGCGCTCCCACGGGGGCAGTTTGTGTCTCACCACAGTGCTCTGGTCACTCCTGGTTCCCAAGGGGAATGATCTCCTCTGTGACAAAGAACTCGATGGTCTCTTCCTCCCAGTCATCCACATTGCTGTCCAGCTCATCCGTGTCCACCCCTGAGAGGTGAGAGAGCAAGGCTGACTCTCGGGTGACTCTGCACCAACAGGGCCCAAGCTGATGGGAAGCAGCAGGCCCAGGCTTTGCGGCTAGCACTGAGCTACAGCACAGGGGATCGCTCCTCTCAGCACAGCCTCAGAACCTGCCAGTTACCTCCTCTCAGCTCCAGACGCTCATTTTTCTGCTCCATGTAGCGCTCCTGGGCCATCTTCCGGTATTTCCGGAAGTCTTCCATCATGGTTCTCCGCCTTTCCACCAGTTCCTACAAAATCCAGAGGCGTTACACAACACAATTCCCCAGCAGCGAGCTCTTCTTAATCAAAGTGAGAATGTCCTTCCAGGACCCACACCTAATCAGTGGATGTCCCAACAATGCATTGAAAGAGGGGCTGTCAGGCTGGGGATTTAGCTCAGTGGCACAAGCGCCTGCCTGGCAAGCACAGGGTCCTGAATTCGATTCCTGGTACCAAAAAAAAAAAAAAAAGAAAAGGGGGCTCTCAGAACTAGAGGTGGTGGTACACAACTATCATCCCAACCCTTTGGGAGACTGAGGCAGGGAGGATCAAAAGCTCAAGCCCAGCCTGGGCAACATACTGTGACTTAGCAAAATAAAAAAATGTATTATTAAAAAGGCTGAGGAATGCACTCCAATGCAAAGTTCGCAGGTCCAATTTCTAATACCACAAAGAAAAAAAAAAGAGGTTCTCAGGCTACAACAGCGGGATGCACTTGTTCCCATGTTCTTCCATTAACATCCCACCACCGGGGGCTGGGGATTTATTAGCTCAGTGCCACAGCGCCTGCCTGGCAAGCACAAGGTCGTGAGTTTGATTCCTGGTACCAGAAAAAAAAACAAACAAAAAAAACCCCAAAAAACAACATCCCACCACCACCACCACCACCGCCAACAAATACAGCCAGTCACGCCATCCCTTCCAGGGGCCAGGACTGGTCTGAAGGTGCCCCTGCTGGTCCACCCCACACACAGGAGAACATGCTGCTGTTGGGGAGGAGCCGCATTCTTCGCACTGCCCAACAGTGCCTGCCTGTGCCATGCCCGGGACGGCGGCTGCCTTCAGCAGCCAGCTCAGCTCCCACAATGAGGCTCACCTTTGAGGCTTTGGACTGGCTCAAACGATCCTTCTGCTCAAAGATCTTTGAATATTTCTTCAGATCCTTTTTAATTTGCTGAATCAAAGACAAGTCACTCAGGATTAACATTCAGTGCAAGAACCAGAATACAACTTTCACAGTCACTGTCAGTGATTCGAAGACCACTGAACACAATCCTGTTGTCATTCGCTTCTGAGTTCACTGTGTGGAGCGACTCTGTCCTGGGATTCACAAGCTCCTCTCCACTTTGACCTGGTACCACCAGCCCACTCCCCGACAGCCACGTCTGCACGAGTCCCCAAGGCTGTGTTCCAGCCTGTCCATGGAGAACTTCGGGCACAACCTCAGGGCTGTGACAGTCAGGGATCCTGACGATCTTCAAGCTACTCTTCTCTACTTGCTCACCCCTGCATTGCCAAGAGCCCTGAAACTGTCTCGCTCCTATTTCCTAGTCACTGCCCTCACAGTAACAAGGAATTACAACCATTTCTCTTTGGCACCATAATGGCTTCTACACCCTGAGCCTGAAGAGGAGCCCAGACCTTTATCTGCTCCTGGCTGAGGAGTGTTGGGGGCCGAGGTCTCCAGAGCAACTGGCAGAAGCGGTCTTTGTTATTCTTCTGCAGGAGGCGTCCCTGGAATGTCCACAGCCAGTAAGCATTGTCCACCTACAAAAGAGCAGGGAGCATCCTGAGCCGCTCTAGCAGGTCACATAAAACAAAGATCCTGGAGCCTCAGCTGCCAACAGAGCCAACAGCAGCAGGCACTACATCTGCCAAAGGATGCTCTGGGCATTTGAGAGACAGCAGGGAACAGCCCAGGAAACTTTCTGAGATCCTGTCTCAAAGTAAAAAATTAAACATGTAGCTCAATGCAAAGGCTCTGGGTTCAATCCCCAGCATCACAAAAACCACCCCCTAAATAACCATAACCGCCCCCAATAGCAAAAATAAACACATATAAAGCAAGAAAGTAAGCAAGCAAGCAAAAAATGACACAATCCAAAAATAATCCTTTCAAGGCACTATTCCCAGGCTATCTGAAAGTCCTGAAAACTCAGTGTTTTCACTAAATAGAATTACTCTATGTAATCTCCCAGGTTCTATCTGCATGAACTACTTCAATTATCAACACCTCTTTTCCTCCCTCGCTGAGACACCAACTGCTGCTTCTTGGAAGTCAGAAACAGGACTAAAAACACTCTTTGACAGCCAAGGAGGAACTGGGAGGAAAGGCCTGTGCTCTTTTCCTGGGGACCCTGCACACCACCACCAGCCCACATGGCCAGTCCAATTCTGCTGCCATGGCTACTTGGGTCTTTCCCCTTACCTTATGGCTCCACCAGGACACAGAGGTGACGACATAGCGTCCAGTGGGGTCCCACTCAACATCAGAGGCCATGTAATGCTCTGCAATGTTCATGACAGTGCAATCTGAGGTGTCAACGAACGCCAGGGCCCCATTCATGCTGTGGAAATAGCATGTGGTCAAACCTCCCACATTCCCACAAGGACCAGGGTCCCCACAGGGACCAGGGAGCTGGCTGCTGCTGGCTGTGGGCTCACAGCACCCAAACCTCTGCCTCAGCTGCAGAGTTTATAGAGGAACAATCATGGTGATCGTTCTCACATCTTCCTTCCATGCTTGGAAGGAAGGTGTGAGAGTGGGAACTACTATACAGACAGGGCACATAAGATTCCACACATTGTGATTACCAAGGAAGTATTACAGGAAGCTAGCCAGGCCTCCGAAACTACAGGAGCGAGTCTGCAAAAGAGCAGGGAACTGGGAGGCCGTGTTGAATGGCTCCACTTTAAGTTGCAACAACGGAGACATTAAGTTATCTTTACACCAATCACTGAGGTAATGACAGTCACAGCTGTCTAGTGAAATGCCTGTCTTGTAAAACACCCAGGGTTCTCCAAGAGGACAGCCAGTAAGACCTTTTCTAAGTAGGGGAATGTCTGCATAGGCACCCGTAAGAGCATTCGAAATTCCTCACCCACGTCTCAGATCTGTGATGGACACACAATGGAAAGACAACGTCCCATCCTCCCAACCAGAGCCTCAAGGAAGCAGAGCCCTGCTATGACCCAGCAGAGGCTGGCCAGGGCATGGCTGCAGCTGGCAAAGCCGCTGGGACTCACCTTCTCAGACCAGCTAGCACGACAAACTGCCCCTGGGGACTCCAGAAGATGGTGTTTGCCTGCTGCTTATCGAACATTTCTGGAAGGAAAGAAAGTGCCCGTGAGTCTATGCCATGGCCAAGATTCAATGTTCCCTAGGGACGGTCTGGTAAAAACAGACTTACAGCCGGGACCCACTGACACATCAACCTGATGGGTCACCTCTGAAAACTACTTCAGAAGACCCAGCATTTAGGTATAGCTTAGGTTATGAGCCACCCTTAAAAAGAAAAGAGGAAAAAAAGAACCACGGGGTACTTTGAAAATACTATAGTATTTTCTTAAAAAACTTCCCAAGCCAAGTGGACAAAGGATTCCTGAATAGTAAACACTATACTTATAATACCCAGAAAGTCTAGCAGATCACCAGGGACATGACCCCAACTCCTCTACAGACTCCCATTACCTTTTTTTAGTTGTGGGGTCACAGAAACTAAGTCTATCATCTTTCTACAAATGCTCATTCCCACAGTTAAGCACAGTCTCTACCTGGACCACATGTCAGGCAGTTAACAAGCTGCAGTGAAGGATCCTCACACCCACTCCAATGAGCAACTAATCCTCACACCGGCAGGATCCTATAACCACCCCAATGAGCAACTGAATAGTGAAAAAAGCATCCGACCTGTGAGAGTCCCAATGGTCTCTGACACATGGCAGGATGCAGACGATACAAAATTGACAACCAGCCCCATAAAGGCATGTCATGCACAAAACTCAGAAGGTAGAAGGTACCTTTCTGTGCATCTATTTTATAACTTTGTATGAGATGCCTTTTGTCTGTAACTGCCTTTATTTAATTTTTTTTTTTTTTTTTTTTGAGATAAGGTCTATGTAGTCCAGGCTGGCTTAAATCCTCTTGCCTCAGCCTCCTAAATGCTTGAGCTACTGGTGGGAGCCACCACAACCACTTTGTAACTGCCCTCATCTGTTATGGTTGATACATTGTTTCAACTTGGGGAGTCTAGAGGCTTGGCTAAGTGACTCAGCAGGGAGCCAGGGTGCTTACTTTGTATTCATCCTGAGCCTGTGGAAGAGGAGGGCACACAGATTTTGTGAGTGCTACACATCCCCTGGGTGGGGGTAGCCTGTTTACAATGCAAAGGAGGGAAAGAGGATGCCTGCCCAGATGCTTCCCTTTTGCTCTAGTTGTTTTTGCTGTGTTCTGTTGCCATGAACGTTTGCCCTCTGCCATGTTCCACCCTGCCTTGGAGCCAGCCAAGTATGAACTGAAACCTCCATAAACTATAAGCTAAATAAACCTTTCCTTCCTTAATTTGGGGTGTTGGGTATTTTGCCTCAGCAACGAGAGAAAAGTAACCAAGACAATATCCAAAAGAATACTACAACCAATTCTGTGATGCACAATCTACTGTTCCTGCTAAGCTGTGGCTGAGTAAAAACTAAATTCACAGAACTGTCTTGGGAAGAGCTATTCCCAGGATACACGAATCCCTCTTGGGTACACTGTGGCCTAGGAGCAAGGGAGCACAGCCTGCGATACCCTCACAGACTGCCATGGATGAGAAACACTGGTGAAGCGGCCACTGCCTGCTCAATCCCATGGCACCTGCTGAGTCTGTGCGTGCGCTGACCCTTGCAAAGCACTAAGAACACAGGACAGAGCGAGGGGCAGCTATCCTCAGGCCCACTGCACACGTGGGAACGACGAGGCCCTCTAGGGGAGAACAGTGGATTGGCTCAGTACCGCTGGGCAGAACCCACCCTGAGCAATGGCCTGGCACATGCCCTGGGACAGAGCAAGGCAGAGCCTTATCTACAAGTTAACCTTTGGGCCCAAGGGCAGAACTAATGTCACTTAGAATGGTGGTCAGTGACTGAGCTGAAGGCCAGAGCAGCTCAAAAGCAGCAGTGTGACCTGAAGCCTTCCGCTGGCAGCCATGCACTCCCACCACCATGCAGAGCATCATCTGAACCCACAGCCACACATTTACAGTATGTGTCCCCAGGTAAGCCACTCTTTCCTCCTGGGCACTGGCCACACGCTACCACCCATCCTGATATGGCAGAGGCAGAGGCCTGAGACGGGACACACCACTTACTGATGAGCTCGATCTTCCCATTGTTTTTGACATGGTAGAAGGAGACAGATATCCGTGGAGCCTCTCCATGGAGCACAGCAAACTTACTACCGTTTGGTTCCCAGGCGAAGGCTATGATGGTTTCTGAGATCAAAAAACACCCCTTGTGAACATTTGTGAAACTATCCCGATTGGCTCAATACTCACTACTAAGAAGTAAAAGATATTCGTTAGTCAGTCAGAGGGAAAAAAAATCCCAATTCTTAAACTCACTGCAAGGACCACACAGCAAGTGACAGCAAGAAGAGGTACACTTTTCCCAAGTTCAAAAGCAGGTGATTTAACCTTTGTAAGATGCCTTGTGTGAAACCCTACCCCGGTTCCCAGAGCCTACTGCTTTCCCAAAAGTCACACGTAGCGGACAAGCTGACACCTGGTGTGGCTCAGGGATATCGCCTCTTTTATTCAGGGCTGTGCCACCACAGGAAGACTGTGGCCTCTTTTCTGCCCTGACACATGGCTATGAGGCACATCTTCTCATCTCTGTACTTCTTTCTTTTCTCAGTGGCAAAACAAAAAGCCAAACGAAAGGCACACGCTGATATCCAGCTAAAAGCAGAAACACAGCGCTAACACTGAATAGCGTGCGTTAGAACAGCAAGGGAAGTAAAGTCAGCTTTGAGAAACACAGTTAATGTTCTGTTTAAAAAAAAAAATCAGGGCTGGGCACAGTGGCATACACTGGCACTCTCAGCCCTCTGGAAAGCTGACACAGGAACTGTCACAAGTTTTACGTCAGTCTGGGCAACTTAGCAAAACCCTGTCTCAAAATAAAATAAAAAGGACTGGGGATGTAGCTCAGTGTAGAAAACACTTTCCTAGAATGCATAAAGCCCTGGGGTTCAATCCAAGACGCCATAAAAAGACTAAACAAAAACCAAACAAAAAAACAACAACAAAAAAAGGCCAACCCAAACAAAAACACCTTTGCTAGACCAGGAACATGTTTCATATGCAAGATTCTGGCTTCGTGTCCTTAGATAGAGTGAAGACCCATCCCTTACACCCTCATGTGTGAAAATAATGATCCTCTGCTACAAATCAGAGGTATGAGAGAAGTGGAGAGCTTCAACCAGCACCTGGAAAACTTAAGGGCTCCATCTAGAAACTGGGACTCTGACATGCGCTGCAACTCACAGTTGACTGTTTATGGGGAAGGACGAGCCTTCAAGCACCTGCTCAACCAGTTCACACCAGAGAAGCCAAGTGTGAAGCAGCTCAGAAGGCCCATCTGGCGATAAAACTACTACAACTTACCTTTCATTTCAACCACGTCGACAGGTACCTGTTTCTCTCTCATTCGGAAGATCTCAAAATTTGTGACAACACCCTGTTTATTGAAAAACAAAAACAAAGAATTGGTTGACTTTCTGGGAATTCTTAAAAGCGTGAGGAAACACTTAGAAGGACTTAAGAATTTAGTAGAAGATTTAACTCATGTGCCCAACAAACACATGATACTTGAAGTGACCACAGTCCTACCCCTACCAGGAAGCAGTTCCTAGAGCTATGGAAAGAGAATAGGCATGGTTGTAGCAGACTGCGGCCATGGTCACTCCGCCCAGGACTCTATTTCAAGGGAGCTGCCCAGAGGTCCTACACGCACACAAAAGCTCCACAGACACAAAATGCAGCACACCAGCCAAACTTCCCAGGGCCTGAGGTAGCTGTCAATGGCATCTAATGATTTAGATGCAGTGGAACCTCCTGCCCTAGAATCTAAGAAAGTACCCAGGCCAATGAGCAGGGTGTCACCACCAGTGTATGAATGGATGAATACAACACTGTCCATCCAGACAGGGAATACATTTCAACCACAAGAAGGAACAAAACACAGACACACATGAACTGTAAGGACGTGAGAAATGAGAAGCCAGATACAAAGGGCCACAGCCCGATGCCATCAACATACTAAGTCCAGAAGGGGGAACCCAGAGACAGAAGGCAGAGGTCAAGGGTGAGGAGGGGAATGAGGTGTAGCTGCTAACAGCTAGAGAGTTTTGGCGGGGTGTGATAAAAGTGTTCTGGAAGTAGCAGTGGCCATTGAATTGGCTTTAATAGTATGTGAATTAAATTAAGAAGAAATTCAATGCAGGAGAGGAAATTCTCCACTAGAAGGCAAATCCAGGCAATTACAGTGATACTTCTGTTCATGAATTTCTTTCCATGATTCTGGTCACAGAATTCATTCAACCCGAATTGTGGAAAGAATTAAGTTTGTGAACTGAGGTGCCACTGTACTGACAAGGTAAATAACAAATGATGAAAACAAGGAAATCTGGGTGTAGTACTGTGTAAAGTATGTTATTCTTGGTGTTTTTTAAAAAAATGATAAACTCTGAACTGCCATCACAGGAGGAAGGTGTCTGGGAATATAGCTCAGGTCAAAGGCCTTGGCTTCAATCCTACTACTAAAGGTGATGGGGAGGCTAAAACCTGGAGAAAAGAAGCTGTCCTCAACTAGATTATGCCAAAACCTCTCAATATGGTCAGCTAAATGCTTTCAGTATCAGTGGGTCTGAAAATAATCCACAAACTTCAACAACAAAGAATACTCATTAATTCCTTCACAACAAAATAGCTAGTTTAGAAGCAAGTTTAAAAAAAACCTGTTCTCACTGGCATCCACTTACCTGGGTGCCTTTTGGCGTCCTGTCTACTTTAACACACAAGTAATCTCCATTTTTCTGCCAGTGCAGCTTGCAATCTACCACGTTGAAGAGATTCCTCACTCGGATCTCTTGTCTGCTGGGAAGCTGCATCAGGGTCACCCTGGCTGGAATATCCTTGTCTTCTGGCACCCAAAAGGCTATTATGTTACCACCAGGAGACCAAGAAAAGTCTCTGTTGGACAAAGAAATAAAACGTCACCCAAAGACTCAGTACAAAACTGAAAAGCAGGAGAGAACAGAACTCATTTACTGTATAAATGCTCTATTTGGGCACACTAACGACGAGAGCAGAGAGCCTGCCATACAAGAAACCTGTTCCTAGCACTCTGCCTGCAGCTCAGCTGTCCTCGTGACTCTGGGACACAGCCATATCACTTTAACCGTGAGGCAGTAAATAAAGATAGATGTTATTAACCCGGCCCACTGTCACATGGCAGACTGACCCAACTCTGAGCCACCACACAGTCACGCTACAAGATAAATTTTAGGCTGATGAGCCAGGTAGAGTGGAGAGTGCCTGTAATCCTGGCACTTAGGTGGTAAGAAGATAACCCTGAGTTTGAGGCTGGCCTGAACTACATAGAGACCTTATCTCAAAAAATTTTAAGCTGATGGATCTAGCTGTATTATATAAAGATTAATTAAGAAGTCGGGTATGATGGCACATGCCTGTAATCCCAGCACTTAGGAAGTAGGAGGATAACCCTGAGTTTGAGGCTGGCCTGAACTACATAGAGAACCTGTCTCAAAAAATTTTAGGCTGATGGATCTAGCTGTATTATATAAAGATTAATTAAGAAGCTGGGTATGATGGCACACGCCTGTAATCCCAGCACTTGGGAGGGTGAGGCAGGAGGACCACAGCAAATCTGAGATCAGCCCAGGCTAGTGAGTTTGAGGACAGCCCAAACTACAGAGCTGGACCCTGTCTGAACACCCTCCCCAACAAAAGAGATTAAGATTTAAAAAGGGTAAAGTTCCCCAGTCAAAACTGTAAGAAGACTCAAGATGAGCAAGGACAATTCCCATACTCATTTTAAGTCATCTGTAGGAATACCGCTGTAATTGTTTATCCACACGACCACATCTTTAGACGTGCTATTGTTTCTCTGTTTTGCTTTTACTGAGTGCTAACATCTTGGTTTTGGTTTTAAATTCAGACTGTACCAAAGAATGCAAAAACAAAAGGATTAGGACACATTAGTGTCCTTAGACCACTGGCACTTCACTGCTCCAAGACTGACCAGTCCCAGGGGCCTTTGAATAAACATACCGACTCGATATGAAGAATGAGCTACAACTCATGGATGTTTACCAGCCACTTGCAGATCACCCAAGCCACCCAGTGAGACCCTTTGCCTGAGGTACTTCCTTAAAATCCCTGTAACCCCACTCTAGGTCAAAGACAGGTACAGCCTGAGACTCTCAGGCCTAAGAGGTTGACTTAACTATGCCAAAGAAGCAGAAATGCTGTGACCACAAGCAGCGGTAGCAGGGGAACCAACTGCGCCATCCCTGGGTTTAGCCCAACTGGTATTTCTTTCCAGCTGCCTAAGAGCTGAATGGTAAAAGAGGGAGAACAAATAAAACCACTGCAATGGATCAAGTGTGTGTGTCCCAAAATTCACATACTAAAATGCTAACCACCAAGATAATGCATTAGATGGGGGCCTTTGGGAGATAATTTGTCAAAATAAAGGGACGTCAGGGAAAGAGCTTAGTTTAATGTAAGGACACAGAACTCCTTATATTATGAAAGCTCCAGAGAACTGCTCTTTCCAACACCTGAGATTACAAAGAAGCCCACCTCTGAGGAACCCCTCACCAGACAAAGTCTGCAAGTAAAAAGCTCAGACTTGCAGCCACTAAATGGAAAGGAAGACATCTTGCTGTGTGAAGCCACCAGACTGTGGTGTTTTGTTTCCTTTTTTTTTTTTTTTTTTTTTTTTTTTTTTTTTTTTGGTTTTTTTCTCCGATACCGGGAACCGAACTCACGACTTTGCGCTTGCCAGGTAGGCGCTTTGCCGCTGAGCTAAATCCCCAGCCCCTTAGACTGTGGTGTTTTGTTACAGCACCCAGAGCAGAGACAACCACAGAAGCAGTCACTTACTTTATTCCAGAGATCTTCAAACTTTTCTTGTCCAAAAGACCCATAGACTGTCCAAAAGAAAGAGGATTACAGTTGAGTGTACAGTGTGCAAATGTTTCAATGGTGCATGTTTTTAAAAAAGTTTGCAGCACTGGGGACTGAACCCAGAGAAGCTCTACCACCAAACTACATCCCACACTTTTCTTTATTTTGACATACAGTTGCACTAAGCTGCCCAGGCTGTCCTCAGATTTGTAATTTTCATGCCTCAGTCTCCTGAGTAACTGGGGTTACATGTGTGCAGCATCACACCCAGTTATAATTATAGAAAATGTTTCTAGAAAGCTAATGCTGCAAGTTTGCTGGGGAGCAGTATAAGTACTCAGGGCGACAGGTGACATGTAAAACAATGTACCCCAGCAATAAAATGTGTACTTCCCAAGCCATTTTATGAATCCCTAACCTTAATTCCTGCAGCAGCACATGGCGGGGCAGGCATGATTCAGGAACTCAACCCCACACTGAGAGCCAGAGCAGCGCAGGAAGCACACTCTGTCCCGCCTGCACTAAGGTGCATCTCCTCTTCACTGCACCTCAAATAAAAGAACAGCGCTACATTCTCTAGTACACACATTGCTAGCTATGAGTGATGGACAGACTAGTTTTTTCGATCACTAAATCACTCACAGGAGTTTCATAGATGCTAAGGGTGTCCATTGTCATTCTTGCAAAAAATTTGCCATCATGGCTCCACCTAAGAAGAAAAGAAGTTCCAGAATATAACAACGAATAAAAGAAAAGATACGAAGAGTCCACTGCTGTGGTCTACTCACTTGAAAATAGGCCAGTGGGCTGAGCTCTCACAGTGAAAACCTCTCTTCTTGTGCCCAGTAAGGATGTCCCAGATGATTATGGCCTGAGGGTCATCCTGAGTGTCCATCAGGGGGCTAAAGGTCACCAGGTATCTGAAAGAGAGGGACCCACTTAGCATAATCTCCTAATGCCAAGCCCTGTATACACAGTATTCATTTTTTGGTATGCATGCCCAACTGAGGTAAGATTAATTTATAAATTAGGCAAGGTCAGAAATCAATGAAAAGGAGAACAGGTCTAACATACTGTAATAAAAGTTAAATGAAGCCAGGCATGATGGTGCATGCCTGTAACCCCGGCACTCAGGAGGCTTGAGGCAGGAGGACTGCTGCAAGTTTGAGGCTAACCTGGGCTACATAGTGAGTTCAAGGCCAGCTTGAGCTACATAGCAAGACCCTGTCTCAAAAAATAAAACGAAACAAAACAGTAAAATAAATTAAAAATTATGTGAATGTGGTGTCTCAAGAGTTAAGACATACACCAATGTTCTCGTGCTATGGCTGTTGGTAGGTCCTGAAACTTTAGAATGTCAAGTGTGGGAATGGGGAACAGCATTACTCTCAAAAGGCTCAGGGAAAAATGCTTACACGGGTGTTTGACAAAGGAAATAATAACAAACCCAACAAAACGTTAAGTGGAGACTCTCAACAGATACAGTATACAGGGTTCTTCTAGCAATTTTTCTATTAATCATAAAATAAAAAGGTATAAAAATCATCTGCAGAAGATTGGAATGAAGACCACATCCACTCCTCCAGCAGTTCACCTCTCACAAGGTGAGAAGTCGATGAGCTGAACCCCCTGGTGGCTGAACCTCTGGATCTGCTTGAATTTCTCTCCCCCCCAAAGAGCGATGCCTCGCTGATGGAAGGTGGCCAGGTAGGTGCCCTTGGGAGACCAACGCACGTATGTCTCTGTCCACCTCTGTGGAAAAGGAAGATCAGCATTAACACAACAACAAAGTCAGACACAGAGACCCTTCCTTCTACTGTGAATCTACTGTTCACTTCTCAGAACTTATTTCAGAGCTGGAAAGGAATAAAAGTTGTTCTCAATAACCCCAGAGAGAAACACTCTTCCTGCTCTTTCACTAGCTTGTGAAATAGTTGTTCCCCCTTAAGGAAATACAGAAGTCAGCGCCGCAAGCAACAAATTCGTACCGCTCTTTCTTCAATTGAGACAGGATCCTTCACATCATTCCAGAATATGGAAGTCCGGTCTCCGCTCTCAAAAATCACACTGTATTGATCTCTACATTCTGCCTCTTCTAGCCAGTAACGTAAGTTTCCCTAAAAAGAACCGAAAGCAGGGGATTTAGTCACACTTCATCAATGTTAACCCAAGAAAACTCACCTACAGCTTCTGCTTTTAGATGACAAATTTGGTGAGCATCTTTGTACTCCAAGACACTCACGATCTCAAGAAATCCAGCATTTCTATTAAATGCTTAGATACAGATTGCATGCAACTTACCAGGTCTTTAAAAGGCTGTTTTTCTGGGATATCCCATTCATCACTGATCGTCATGTACCTGGAGGAGAGTGGACAACTGCTGAGCAGCACTAACGGTGACCAAATTTGATGGGGGGGGGAGGGCAAAGTCAACAATCAATGGTGCATACCCAGGCCACCCCACCGCTCGCCCACCCATGGGGGACACATGGAGGGATGGAGATAGGAGTGTTCAACTGGTATAAGAACTGGTGCGAGGTCCGCTGGCCAGGAGCACGGGGCACAAGTGGAAGTGCTGCTCTTGCCTGATACTCTGAAAAGCCACCAACACCCACTGAGAAGTAATGAATCACCTGCATGTGTCAGTGCTCACATTTTCGAGGTCAAGTCTGAACTCACTTGTCAAAATCGGTGAAGAGGTTCACTCGGAAGGTGTGCTGCTTGTCGAGCTTGTAGCCATCAGCGTTTTTCACAGCATCCACAGCATGAGCAGGAGATGCATATTCCAGGAAGATATATCTGAAGTGAGAAAGCAGGCAATGTATATGTGTGCAGGCTGTCAGGTCAGGGAGGTCATACTCTGCACACCAGAGACCTTGTCCTGTAAGTATCTTACTACCATGGCCCCAAGGCAGTCAAATTGAGTAACAGCACAATCCCCAGGCAGAGCAGCTTCCCAAACAAGAATGATATCCTAAATTAGATCCAAAGTATCTAATTTCATAGTTAGAATCTAGAGAGGTTAACAAATATGTGTGAGCTTTTTTCTTTTTTGATGGTACTGAGGATCAAACTCAGAGCCTCTACTTCTGAGTTACATCTTCAATCCTTTTTTACTTTTTGAGACAGTATCTCACCAAGTTATTTTAGCCTAGGCTTGTACTTATGATCTCCCTGCCTCAGGCTCTCAGACTGCTAGGATTACAGGGTTCCACCATCACGTCTGGCTGAAAACATGTTACTCTGACTATGGATGGATTCATGATATTTAAGTATGTCAAAACCTACCAACTTATACACTTTAAACTATGCAAGTTTATTAGCTATCCACTACCTCCTTAAAGGGCTGGGAGTATAGCTCAGCAGAATCGTGCTTGCCTCATAAGTAGGAGGTCCTGAGTTTGAGTTCCAGGACCAAAAAAAGAAAAAGGAAAAAAAAAAAAACCCCAACTAGTCTCTTCCTATGTGCTGCCTATGGAGGTGGCAGCCATCTTCAACTCAGCACCATGGCGGCCCTTACACCCCTCGTGAGGCCCAAGATCGTCAAAAAGAGGACCAAGAAGTTCATCTCGCACCAGTCAGATTTTTATGTCAAAATTAAGTGCAACTGGTAGAAACCCAGAGGCATCGACAGCAGGGTTCTGAGAAGGTTCAAGAGCCAGATTTTGATCTGGAGGTGCTGCTGATGTGTAACAAGTCTTACTGCTCACAATGTCTCCTCTAAGAACCTCAAGGCCACCATGGAAAGAGCAGCCCAGCTCACCATCTGAGTCACCAACCCCAACGCCAGGCTGTGCAGTGAAGAAAACAAGTAGATGGCTCGTGTGCATGTTTATTTGTCCTTAAATAAAACCACAAAAACTGCAAAAAAAACCCAAAACAAAACAAAACAAAAACCCCAACTACCTCATTAAAGCTTTTAAAAGTAGTTCACTATTGGGCTGGGCGTGGTGGCGCATGCCTGTAATCCCAGCACTTGGGAGGCTGAGGCAGGAGGATCGCTGCAAGTTCGAGACCAGCCTGGGCTACAAAGTGAGCTCAAGGCCAGCCTGAACTGCATAGCAAGACCCTGTCTCAATAAGACAAAAAAAATTTAAAAAATGAAAATAAAAGTAGTTCACTATTGGGCATGGTGGTGCACACCGGTAGTCACAGCACTTGGGAAGCTGACGTAGGAGGATTGCTGTGAGTACAAGGGAGCCTGGACTATATAGTGAGTTCAAAGGCAGTCTGAACTATATAGTGAGACCCTGCTGCAAAAACCAAAAACAACAACAAAAAATTTAAACTGAGGGTGTATGTAGCTTAGTGGCAGAGCATTTGCCTAGCATGGAGGAGGCTTGGGTTCAATTCCCTGCACCATAAAAAACCAAAAACACACCAAATAAAAACTGAACATTAGGGGATATAGCTCAGTGGTGCAAGTGCCTGCCTGGCAAGCATGAGGTCATTAGTTCGATTCCCGGTACCAAATAAAAACAAAAACAAAAACTGAACATTATCATCCTCACAGTCTGATGGGACTGGAAAACAGCAAACCAGTTTCCATCAACTGCCAGCAGCAGCCACTTGGACCTGCGTTGCATTGGCCAGGGCACAAAGGGTAGGCACTGCACATGGCTCAACAATCTTGCTCTTGAGCACGACAAAGAAGCTCTCACACTTGCACAGGACATGGGTACATAACTGTTCAGGTGTCCATCAACAAGAAAATGGATACTTCACGGACAACAACAGAACACCACAGCATTCACAACAGATCAAAGAAGGATGGGGCTGTAGCTCAGTGGTAGTGTAGTTGGCCAAGGATGTGCAAAGCATGGTTTGATCCCCAGCACTGCAAAAAACAATAAAAAATAAAAATAAAATGAAGAAGCTGGCCACAGTGGTATATGCCATTAATCCCAGCACTCTGGGAGGCTGAGGCAGAAAAATCGCAAGTTTAAGACTAGCCTGCAAATGGCCGGGACTGGTGGTGCACGCCTGTAACCCCAGCACTAAGGAGGCTGAGGCAAGAGGATCCTTGCAAGTTTGAGACCAGCCTGGGCTGCAAAGTGAGCTCAAGACCAGCCTGAACTACATAGAAAGACCCTGCCTCAAAAAGACTAGCCTGCAAACTCAGTGAGACCCTGTCTCAAAATCTAAAAATTTTTAAAAAGGGCTGGGGATGTAGCTCAATGTGAAGGCCCTGGGTTTAACCTCCAATACCACCTCTGCCCCGACAAAAAAGCAACACAGTAAGTAGAATGAAATTTATCAACATGGAAGACCTAATTTTTAAGAGAAAATGCAAACCTCGGGTCACATACCTACATTGCAATTTTTAAAAGGGACACCACTATTTCAGGCAGTACTAAGAAAAGAGTTGCTAATTAAGTGGTGACACAACACTTTCACTTAAACTGTTAAATGCACTTCCATTTCAGAGACATTCAAACATGGGGGAAAAAAGGTCAAAATAAAATTCTATGCACAAAATTTTCTTAAAATTCTGCCAGTCTCCAGACAAGCCTAAGTTTTTACCCAGGACACATCTGAATTGTCAATTACTGTTCTGAGGGCAAAATTAAGAAACAAGTCCAGATTCTTCACAACTTAGCAGCCAACGGACACTGTAACTCAAGAGCCGTCCTATGTTCTCCTCCCCAACCACTAAGGGCCCCAGCACCCAAACCTCAGTTTCTGCAAGCTCTTAGCACCTGAATCAACAGCCTTGCCGCAGGAAAGCATAGGTGTACAACGGGTTCCCACAAAGGGTGATCACCACCAAAACACAAAAGCTACTTCAGTGATGAGACAGCAAACTCACCCTTTTGTCTTTCCATCCTCTTCAGGATAATAATCATTTGTGATTTTACCAAATTTGGAAAAGATCTTGTGGATGACATTTTTGAGTTTCTCAAGTCGGTCAGGTCCCACCTGAGGAACATTGTCCACTACAATCACCGAATCAATTCCATCTGCTTCCTGAGGCCGATCTTTGAGTACATCTCCAAGCAATTCTGTATGGGTGAAAGAATTGCCAAATGATCTTTAAAATACAAACAAACCAAGAAATTGCTAGGTATAGCGGCATGCAGCTGTAATCCCAGCAGTTGTGAAACTGAGATAAAACGATTACTACAAGTTCAAGGCAAGCCTGGGCTACATAGTGAGTTTAAGTCTAGCCTGAACTACATAGTGTGACCCTGATTCAAACCCCTTCTCCCCAAAAACAAACCACCAAGAATCACGCTCATATATTACCTTGGTACCTTGAACAAACTCTCAGGAAGCTAAGTACGAATGATCTAACGATCTGCTTTTATTGTGACTAAGTCATGAATTGAATGTTAGTGCAAGTCTATAACCCCACCACTCTGGGATTTCAAACAGAATGAAGAAGCTGGCCATGGTGGTATATGCCATTAATCCCAGCACTCTGGGAGGCTGAGGCAGAAAGATCACAAGTTTAAGCCTAGCCTGCAAACTCAGTGAGACCCTGTCTCAAAATTTAAAAATTTCTAAAAAGGGATGGGGATGTAGCTCAATGTGAAGGCCCTCAGTTTAATCTCCAATACCACCCCCCAAAAAAGGCAACACAGTAAGTAGAATGATATTTATCAACATAGAGGACCTAATTTTTAAAAGAAAATGCAAACCTCAGTTCACATACCTACACTGCAACCTGAGCCACTTAGCAAATCATCTCACTAGCATACCAAAACATTACTTTGGAAGTCCCAAAATTATAAGGTGTTGTGGATAAGAAAGCAAATATATATTTCCTACTGTATTTAAAATATCAGGGTAGGAACACTAAACTAGGAGACTATGGTATAGCCCTGTAATCTCAGCAATTTGGGAGGCTTAGGCATGAGGATCATGAGTTCAAGGAAGACCTAGGCAACCACAAAATTAACTAAATAAACTAGAAGAATATATAAGCTCCTAAACATGTAATTAATAGTATTTTCTCTTTTGGGGCTGGGGCTTTAGCTCAGCGGCAAAAAGTGCCTGCCTGGCAAGTGCAAGGTCGTGAGTTCAGTTCCCGGTACCAGAGAAAAACCAAAAAAAAAAAAAGTATTTTCTCTTTTTTTTAGTGATACACAAAATAATGAGGCATCTTCCAGGTCGTGATGGCACATGCCTTTAATCTCAGCATTTAGAAGACTGAGGCAAAAGGATCACTGAATTCAAGGCCATCATGGGTCACACAGGGAGTTCAAGGCAGCCCAAACTACACAAGAAGACTCTCAAAAAAACAAAACAATGAACAAAAAAGAGATGCATCTTGCAAATGTTGGTGTCTTTGACTTGATGAAATGCCATACAGGGCAGCAAGCAAGCATCAGACAACCGCAGACTAATATTAAATGTACAAATGTTTAGGATGGTGCTTGGAAGACAGGGTATGTTCACTTTCCATGTGTTCCACATGTTAATACACCTAAAAATGCAAAATGTGCTACGTTCATGCCACCTGCTTTTAAAGCCCAAAACTTGCGTATTCAAAGTTCTTAAAATGGATTCATTTCCATAAAACAGCCAGCGAGAATATGAGAAACTGCAGGTTGGTGTTAAAAAGAAAAAAGGAGAGAAAGAAAGACAACAGGTCAGTAAGTCAAAGGCACTCTGCTGCTGCTCTGTGTGAGGCTGGTCTCAGCCCCAACCCTTGGGACCAAGAAACTCCTCCAGCATCACTAGAAACACCTGACCACCTGCTGCAGGCAGCCACAAGGGCAGCAAGTGAGACCCAAATGAAATGAAGCAAATCCCCGTCTCCAAGTATAGTTCTGTGCACATCCCAAACCTTGATAGCTTGCCTACAAAGCTGTAAATGCGAGGACCTGGAAAAGAAAGGCACCTTTTATAGCTGCCATCAAAGTGCACTCGCCAGGTGAAACCACATCAGTTATCATAGCCAAAATGATTACTAGGTAATTTCTGAGTAGTCAAAAAGATGGTTGCTACACTAATTTCTTATTCTGGGAGCTAATTATCACTCTGATTTTTTATTATACTCCAGAATTTCAACATGTTAAATGACATATCAGAAAACACTTTGTTTTATTTCATTCTCAAAGGTTAAAAAGTGGCTGAGCATGGTGGCACACACCTCTAACTCCAGCAATTGGCAGTCTGAGGTAGGAAGATCATTGCAAGTTGGAGGCCAGCGTAAACTACATGGTGAGACCCTCTCTCAAAAAAGCCAAAAAGAAAGTTAAAAAGTGAATTCTTGTCACTCTTTTATGTGTTTTATTTCTTTTTGTTGTTGTTTGTGTTTTAAATTATCTGAAACAAAAAATTAAAATGTTTTTTCAACTTGAGCATAGTGGCGTACACCTGAAATTCAAATTACTGGGGTGGCTGAGGCAGGAAAACTACAAAATTGAGGCCAGTCTGAGCAAGACAGCAAGACCCTGTCTCAAAAAAAAAAAGGGTAGGAGGGGGTCCTGGGGAAGTAGCTTAAAGGTTGAGTGCTTACCTAGCAGGCCCACCTGCTTCAACACATGGAGGAGGAGACAGCGCGGCTATTTAAAAGGGAAAAATAGTTTCAAGTAGCAAGCTGTCATAAACTATTTCTAATTAATTTCAACATTTCTATGAATAGTTACTTAAAAATAGCCACTGGGCTGGGGATGTAGCTCAGTGAGACAGCTGAATATCAAAGACACTAAAATTGAGATCAGGCAAAAAGGAAAAAGCAAGGAATGAGGCAGGTCAGAATCACAGCAGTTCCAGAAATCCATTATATGAAACTGTAGTGAAATCTCTGGCATATTTTTAAAAGGTTCTCGGCATACAATTAAATGCCTATTAAACTGCATCTCAAACTTATAAAGCTTATACCATAAAAAGCTCAGCTTCTATACAGAACTGTGGACTCCTTCCCACAAAGCTCAGAGCGTCTACTTAGTCTGTAAAAAAAAAAATCTGCCCATAGCTAGGAAAGGAACGAAGTAACTACACAGCGCAAGGCCCACTGTGTTCACTATCAGGTACTCCCGGCTCTAGGACTTCCAATCTGACTCCAAGAAATAATTTTCAAAACTAAATAGGAAAAATGTAGATGTACGCTACTTAGTGAGCCGAAGAAGATACCCAGAGTTAAAATTCTTGATCACGTATTTGTCTAGCCAAACAGGGCTGAAATACTGAACAGAATGAAAGATACAGATTAAGGTATGACTGTGGAAGAGGCAAGACAAACTCCACACTGCTCTTCCTAAAATCCAGTCCTTTTAGAGAGGAATGTAGACCCTGCCTTACCTCCCCCGGGCCCCTCTGATCTGGTAGGGCACACCACAAGCAGGAGGCAGGAAAAAAGCTGGAAGATTACTGAGATCTAGTTCCTCAGGACCAGCTGCCTCTCAAGTCACTCTGGCCAACAAGGCACACATCAGGACCACTCTGGCACCTAGAGATCACAATGACTTCACCCAGTCTGGACACTCCTGCACTCAGGTTACCGTTCCCTGACTGTCAAACACTGAACTCTGGAAATAATCCACCTTATCATCTATGAATTAGATGGGCTCAAACAACATTTTTAAAATACCTCAGCTGAACTGGGGATAGCAGCAAACACATAATCCCAACACTCAAGGCTGAGGCAGGATGGCCAGCCAGTTCAAGCCCAGCCTGGGCCGAATAGTGACTTCAAGGACAACCCAAACTACACAGCAAAACTCTGTCGCAAACAAAAATGATGTAGCAGCACATCACCGTAATCCCAGCACCCACAAGGCTGAGGCAGATCACAGGGTATGACCTAGCCTGGGCTACATAGTGAGTTCAAGGTCAGCCTGAACTATGTAGCAAAAGCATGTCTCAAAAAACTTAAAAACAAAATGATCTTCAAATTACAAGGGTCCAACATCACACCCATCTTAAAACAGGATTTTCTGTTTGTTTTTTGAACAGGTCTCATTATGTAGCCCAGGCTGGCCTTGAACTCCTGACACTCCTCCTGCCTCAGCCTCCTGAGAGCTGGGATTACAGGCATTACAAGCAGGAGCCACCACACTCAGGAAAACTTAGCATCTTAAAACGTAAGAAAAATTGGTGTGAAGAAACCACTGGTCTGGGCAGACTAGTGTGAATTCCCAGCTACCTGCCCCACTTGAAGGGATGGATGCTCTTTTGCAAGGGCAAGGGACGCAGACTAAATGCTCTCAAAGTCTCAAAGTATGTTTTTATTTTTTAAATCTCTCATGCTAAAATGTCTTTAATAAAGTAAAACTAAATAATGCTGACAGTAACTGGTAGCCCCCTAAAAAAGTGTGAGTGCCAAATTAATTCTATTGGTTCTCTAGACTTGATGCGTCTCCACCTACTTCAACAGTGGTGTTCTTGTCTTTCTCACTTTGGTACTAAAGTTAGTCAACACACACAAGAACTGCATGATGCAATTCCCGCGTGGAGAATTAAAATAGTTTTTAAAAAAAGCAATCTGCTATCATCGTAAGTCATTTCAGCAAAAAAGCTCCCAGGCAGTGAGCAGAAACAATGCCTGTAAAACCACAGTTAAGAACTGCCCTACTAAAATATTTCTGTGGGGTGGGGATGCAAAGGCACCCGGCTCGGCGCAATCTGCCAAGAAGTCTGACTGGTCAGCGCTGGTGATCTTGGCCAGGGAGGCAGAGGTCCCGCCTAGCTATGTTTCCAGCTGCTCCTCGTGCACATCAGGCCACCCTGGAACCCGCTCTGCTCTCTACTCCTCTCAGACGTGCGGCTGTGCTGCAGATAACTAGCTCCCACAGTGATCTCTTGTAGATCCCTCTTTAGAGAGAAGCAAACAGGACCCGCGTACTCGCAGCACACCCGCCCCATGCGGAAACGGCAGCAGCAGGCAGAGGTCCTCCCACCCACGGCCACGCTCGCCCCCCTCACCTTCCTCGCTCACGTCATCCACAAAGTCTTCGGGGTCGCTGAAGGAAGGCTCGTCCGCCTCGCCGTTCTCTACTGGGCGCTGTGCGGCCTCGGCCGCGCTACCCTCGCGCCCGGCCGCCTCCTCGGCGCACTGCTCGCTGGCCTGCTCTCCCGGGGGTTCGGGCTCGGACTGCGGCGCCGGCTCCTCGGTGGGCGGGGGTGGGGGCGATGCGGCCGGGCCGGGGGTTGCCTCCTCTGTCTGCTCCGCACTCACCTCGGGCTCCGGCCCAGCCGCCGCCTCTTCCTCGGTGTCCTCGCTCCGCGCTGCCTCGGGCGTTCCGGACCCAGCCGACTCCTCGTCCGGGGGTGGCTGAGCGGCCGGCTGCTGCCGCGCGGGCTCTGCCCGCTCATCGGCCGCTTCGGGCGCCGCCACGTTCTCCGCGTCCTGCATGGGCCCGCGATAGTCTTCGCCCGGCTCCGCCGCGCGCTTCCGACTCCCAGACCGCCCCGCGCCAGCTAGCGCCTAGCCATGTGCGTGCGCCCGGGGGCTGTACCAACTGCCGTGCGGGGAGGACCCCAAACCCCGACTCTTCGTAAAACCCCCAGAGGAACTGCACTGCACAGAAGAGCGTCTGCCACTAATTCCAGCGATGTTTACGGGAGAAGAGAGTGCTCAGGTTTTAGCTAGAAAGTTGCTCTCGGCAGCTGCTAAACTCACGGGGGAACTATTACTACCCCATTTCTGGCAGCAGATGATTCCGTCCAACATGGTAGCCATAGCCTTCCTTCTCCCATCGGGCTATTCGGTCGAGGACGGGACTATTGAAGTCGCCGGCAGATTCCAGAAATCATTTAAAAATAGGAATTTGCATGAAGACATAATGTAACTAAAAACCCGTACCATGTAAAACTGTAAGTTCAACAAACTTTTCTACTTGGGCTGATGTATAGCCAGACAACATGTTTACCTTATTCCTAAATTCCCCCTTTCCGTTTCTGGATTTTTAGACGCGTCTACTGACGGGGCAAAAGAACGGACGATTCCAAATTACACAAGAAATTCGCGGCGATCGAGAGATGCCCGATACAACTATAAAGAGGACATCTCTGCTCAATATAAAAGCATAGGTAGATGCCTTCATTCACTTAGGCCATCCCCACCCGCAACACTTGTAACTGGGGCGCCCCCCCCCATGCTGCCGATCACCATGGTTTGGTCCGACGGAAGCCACAGCCCTACTCTCAGGAAATGGGTGAGGCGAGAGTAGTCAGGTGAGTCGCGGCGCTGAGTTAAGAAGGGTACAGTGGATCAGCTGGGACTCTGCGGGCTGTGGGAGGGTCGTTTGTACCTGTGTCTTTTGGTTTTTGGTACAGGGAATTCAATACTAGGGCTTCCATACTGAGCTACATCTCAGCCCTTCTTAAAAAATATTTTGAGACCGGGTCTCACTAAGTCGCTAAGATTCCCAGGCTGGACTGGAATTTGGAATCCTCCCGCCTCAGCCTCCCAGAGTCCCAGAATTACAGGCGTGCACAACCACTCCCGGCTTGTGTTTTGCTGAGCTCAGGAGCAGCTACTGGTTTGTTTTTAATTGTACTACAAGGGGGGTTAGAGGATTTACTGCGTAGTAGGGAAGCAGTCTTTGCCGGGAAGATCCAGAGCTCTGGAGGTGGCCTGCGGAACAGTGAATGCCCCTCGTGGCTCCGCATACTTAAAAGTAATTAGAGTGGGGCTGGGCGTAGCTTGGGTACTTTCGGGCGGTAAAGAGCATGTGGTTGACAGGTTGAGAACCTGGGATACATCCCCAGCACCAAATAGTACGGAGAAACACGCTCCAAATAGTACGGAGCGAATTTCATTCATCGGATCCGTAGGTGGCATTGCTCTGCGTTGCTGGTCCGGAGGAGGGAGACACTTCCCTCTGAGCTCTGAGCGCCGGAGGGTGCGCTGTCCAGCCGACTGACTTACAGGCCGGTGAACAGTAGGAAAGGCAGATTTGGGAGGTACCGGAGCTTCACAGAAAAGCGGGGTCAGCACGCAGGCCCCAGGGGTGATGCTCATAGGGAGCAGGCGACGACGGAACAAAGATGGAGGGTTCCTGGCAGAGGACGTGCTGGTTTGTGATTGCATTTGGGGTCCCCGGCGGGCCTGCTGCTCTTCCTGGGTTGATGTAGCCGCCTGGAGGCGATGTATATCCGGCCAGTTTTTAAGGGAAAGTCAGGACAGCCTCACCCTGCCTTTGTTTTACTCGGAGTTCTAGGCAGAAGCAGTGTGTTTGGTGCAGCATTTCCTGGACTCTTCTGGAGTTGAGATCTCTGCCCTCATAAGCTGCCACTCTAGTTGGGAAGACAGAAAATGAGGTGAAGAAATGAGAGAACTGTGGTAGGGCAGTGATGATGATAGCAGACTAGCAGGGCTGGTGCAGGCCATCTTTGTGCAGGGGAGCAGAGAGAGCGCTGAGGAGGAGGTGTGGTCCAGCTGGGACCTGAGATGCTGATAGGGAGTCAGAAGTGGGAAAAAGGCACAGGGCTGGGGGTGCCTTTTTGAACAGAAGGAAAGTGCAAAGGCCCTGGAGCTTTGCAGGCCTTGGTGAGGTTTGCTCTCAGCAGAATTAGGGAGGAGGGAGGGAAAGAGGATTTAAAAAAAATTAAGATGTATTATATTGCAACAGCAAACAGAAACACCAAAATGACACCTAGAATTTGGAGACAGCTTTATTTACATCGATGGACGCTGCTCGGGGTCATTCTCAAAATATCAGGCCCCCAACCTCTGGTGGTCTAGGGCTTTTATAATGCACAAGCAGGAGGTACAAAGGCGAGATAGAACAGCCTGGCAGTTCTTCTGATTAGCTAGCAGGGTGAGATCATTGTTTACAAGGGTAGATGAAGGATCACCAATTTATGAAGCTTGGTACAATAATACAGTCAGGCATTTTGTATGTTCAGTTATGCTCCTGTGGGTACAGGAGTCAAAGTAATTAGAAAGCCATACAGAGCTAGGCAGTTTCAAAAGAACAAAGTTTAAAAAGAACACTTTCACTTGTGTGGTTTTTCCCTTTCAATATACATGTACCAACGTCCCATGAGTAATGTAATCATTATGTATGCCAAACATATGCTAATGAAAATAAAAGAATTAGGAGTTATTTTTTGTAGTTTGAATCCAACCATGAAATCAGTAAAAAGATGTCAAAAAATGGAAAATAAATGCCAATGAAGAAGTGGCCCATGCCTATAATCGGAGCACATGGGAGGCGGAGGCAGGAGGATCTCCAGTTAGAGGCTAGCCTGGTTTACATAGCAAGACCTTTTCTCAAAACAACAGCTGAGTGTGGTGGCGCACACCTGTAATTCTAGCACTCGAGGCTGAGGCATGAGGATCACCAAGAATTCAAGATTCCTGGGCTACCCTGAGTTCAAAGCCAGCCTGAATTACGTCGGAGTCTCAAAAACAAAACAAAAAACCACAAGAAGATACAAGTCAAAAAGCAATGTTTCAAACCTCTTGATCTACAGCTGTGTTTTCTGAATTCTGACATAGAGCCTGGGAACTTTCTAGGGAAGCTGTGCAGATAGACCACTGGGCTCCAGTGCATGTGCCCTGGATCGGCCCCTCCTGGATCTCTTTTCTGTAGCAAGCTTCTCCCAAAAGTTGGGTTTGGTGAGGGTCAAAGGGGAAACTGTCACCGGGGTGAAGGTGGGCAACTATGGGTTAACTGTACAGCTAAGCTCCCAAAGAAAGTCGGTGGTTATGACCTCAGCTATGTACGGTATACCAATAATGTAGTGTCAGTGAAGCATAGTGGACTTGGGAAGTTCCACCAGAACTTCCTGCTCTCCCTTGACCACCCCTTTAACCGCTGCTCTGTATCCGTAACCTTGCTTCAAGCTGACCTCTAGTGAAAAACCACCCTGTGAAGAAGAAATGATACAAAAGTAGAAACGAAGCTTTGTTCAGAGCTCTTAGAAGGACAGAAGTCCCCTGTAGAGATGCTGGCAAATCAAACTGCTCTTTGCTCCTAAACTCTGTGTTCTGTTGGTTCTGTTGGGGATCCCCATTCATTTTCCTGCTTCAAGAGGATTTGTGGTGAGTGTCAGACAATTGAGCCTTTACCTTAAACTTGCCTTATCTCAGCAAAACAAGACCCAGTCATTGAAATCCTGTGATTTTCAGCAACACTGGAGTTGGGGTGCTTGTACAGTGTTGGGGGACCCTGGTAGTGTGGTCTGTCTGCGTACTCATGTCCCTGGTGACACTGCTGATTTCTCCGCTGTCTCCTTTTCTTTTAGGGGTTGGGATTTCCTGAGGTTGATCCCAAACCCTTAGAAAAGAACTCTATCTCCAGTCTTTTAAAATTTTTTTGTTTTGAGACAGCATCTCCCTAAGTCCCTAAATTTCCCAGGCTAGATTCTAACTTGCTGGGATGACAGGTATGTGACATTTTGGCATGTGGATAGGAGCAGCAAGGTTGAGTGTACTAGCTTTTGGAGGTAGACTGTGGAGCCACAACCTGTTTCCTGCTCACCAACAGTGTGACAGTGAGTTTCCATTTTTGCAACATTGCCATAAATCTTTATCCCAAAGTCACAAGTTCATGTAAGATACTTTTGAGACTTGGAACAGGTGCTTTTACACCCATCCGTACACAGATGTTTGTATACTCACATGCCCCATGTTCTTGGTGGCATTATTCACAGTGAAAATATAGAAGGATACAGGTGTTCATGGACAGATGAAGAGATACACAAACTTAGGAATATGCATACAACAAAATATTACTTAGCCTTAAAGAGGAAGGAAATTCTGAGCTGGGTATGATGGTACATGCCTGTGATTCCAGCACTCTGGGAGACTGAGGCAGAAAGATTATAAGTTTGAGGCCCGTCTGAGCAATTTAGTAAGATCCTGTCTTGAAATGAAAAATAAAATGGGACTAGAGATGTAGCTCAGGGTGAAAGCCCTGAATTCAATCCCCTGTATCCGCTCCCCCCTGACAAATGCAATTTTAGTGTTAAATGAAATGGTGAATACTCTTCAGCACTTGACTTAGTGCCTGTCACATGGGAAGTGTTTAATGAATCTTAGGGCCTACTCATCCTATGAAGGAAGTTATACTTTCCTCTGCTTTTAGGGTCCTCCACCCATTCTGATTTAGAGCCACAGGCCACTTTCACACGAGGCTCCTAAAGGGAGAGCAGCTATATATCATAGGGCCCGTGCTGAAGGCGCCGAGAATGGGATCCAGCACCCAGAAGTCTGAGTTTTGTCAGAGGAGCAGACCCAGCAGGGTGTGCAGAACTTGCTGGGTAGAGGCCTAAGTAAAACTTACCTCAGAGGTCTCTGTGTTCCTGTGAACACCAAGGCTGCAGGAGAACCTAACATCACCCAGCAGCACAGGAGGTTGGTTCCGAGGATCTCTTCAGCTAGGGATTCCCATCCTCCCCAGCCCTGCCATTTCATGCCCAATCATTCTGCACCTCCCACAAGCATCTTACCTGTTCATTTTTTTCCCCTGAGGATTCTGGTTCTATTCTTCCACCAGAGAATTCCAAGTCAGTACCTGTACCAGTCCTGCTAAACTATAGACTATGCGACTAGGCCCAGGCATCTGACTTGAATGTGCCTCTGTGTAGTGCTTATGCTGAATGGCTGGTATTGATAAAGCATTTCTGCTGCACTCTGATATTTCTGCAGTAGAACCACAGCCATTGTTTATTAAACTGCTATAGGTGGAAAGAAGCAGAAAAAGGACAGTACATCTCAGACAAAACTTGGACTGCTTAGTTATTTTTAGATGGCACCACTGTAATTTTTAGACAGGTAAAACCTAGATTTAGCATGTGTACATGAAGTGAGAGAGAAGTACGCACACTTAGATGTAAATTGTGGACAAACTAATGAGAGCTTTGCACGGTACAGAAGAGGAATTTTAGAGAAGAGAGAATCTCATTCTTCCAATATAGTTATGCATCCTCTGTGGAGGGAGTGAATTCTGAAAAACATGCCTTTGGGCAAGTTAATCATTTGGGGAGCAACGTAGAGGACTTACACAAACTGGCATAGCTACTGTGTCATTAGGGTGATGGAATTTTGTGGGATCGCCACTGTATACGTGATCTGTTATGCATTGAAACACTGACTTGTCACACATGATTGTATTTGAAAGCCTGTTTATTAGGACATGGTCTGAATGTTTTGTCAAATAAGAATACAGACAGCTCTGATAATTGCAAGTATCAAGGACACAAATTGTAACTGAAGATGAGCAGAGTTTCCTGGCCATTTATTGGCTTTGTACAGTAATGGGACCTTTCCTATCTATGCGGGACTCTGAGGGGACCCAGGGCCCAAGATGTTTGAAGCTCCCTGAGATCCCATTCAAATCCAAAGCTCCAGGACTGTATGGATGGTAAACACGCTTCCTGCACATTGTGTTCACTGACCTGAAAACCTCATGCTTGGTGTGAGTAGGTGAGAAACAGGTAAGGGATGACGGTACAAACAACCTTTAGACATAGCACAAATAACAGACAAACTTCTCATCAATAGGTTCCAGCAAAGGATCAAAAGTAAAATTTAGAGCCCAAGTGTGGAATCCAGCCAAATGTCCCTTGATAGACAAATGGCTACAAAAAAATATGGAGTGCCCATGCGCTGGGCTATTATTCCTGTCTTGAAAGAAACAGACACTAATGACAGACCCTGAAGACATTGCACTCATTGGAGCGAGACATGTGAGGACAAAGGTAGTTTGAGTCCATGTGACTGCAAGGCACATGAGGAGCCCAAAGGGACACAAGGGAGAATGGTGGTCACCAGGGGCTGCAAGAGAGGACATAGGAGTCAGTGTTTCACCGGGGTAGAGTCTGTTCAGTGTGATGAAAAACTTACCGAGATGGATGGTGGCAGTGGTTGCACAACATGGCAAACATACAGTCGTGCTACTTATGACATCTCAGCCAACCAACTAGGGACCCCTTATACAAGGGTAGTTGTAGGAGATGATGTCAGGCAGTGACATCATGGCCCTGTCAGTTGGATAGGTTCACTCCATGATGTCAGCATAGTGACCAAATCAACTTACTACAGACAGCTAGGTTAGATAAATATTAACACGCAGTCAGAGAGGGACCAGGCCCTCGAAGGAGTCAGTTCAGAAATGAGACACATCAAAATTGTGGCTGGAGACAAATTGGAAGAGAACCAGGCCTGCAAGCCTCCCAATAGACAGCAGCTTGAGATCATACTGTAACCAGCACCACCTGGTCCAGTGAGCCTAGATAAGACGTCACATTCATAGGTGGGTGACCAGAATGTACTGATCCAGAGTCCCATCCCTTCCCTGAAATGCCTCTGGCCTTTCTATATTAGAAGTTATAGATAAGGTGAAGTTAATGATGCCCACCATATACCCTTGCTTCATGCCTTGCTTCCCTATTGGATGAATATCAGCTAAGATACTACACTTGTAACCCCACAGGTTGGCTTCAGCTTGGCCCAGAGTGGTCTGAGATGTGGTCATTTTCATCTATAAAAAACCCCAGACAAACAGCCTCAGTGGCAACCCACTTTCAGGATCCCTCCTGTCTCTCAGGAGTTTTCTGTCAATAAACATCCTATTCTTAACCCCTTTCATCCTCGTATCCATTCTCTGGGTACTGAGAGACACGAACTGTGCACATCTGATGCCTAGCAGTTTGAGTCACTTCCCTGTGAAAAGTGACAACACCTTTCTCAGAACACATCCCCATGATGAAGGGTGCATGTCTGTCCTTAATACCACTCAACCCTATATTTTAAAATGGCACAAACCAGGCATGGTGGCAAACACCTGTAGCCCAGACCTCAGTAGGCTAACACAGGAGGACCACCACAAGTCTGAGGCAAGCTTGGGCTAAATAGTGGGTTCAAGGCTCACCTGAACTACATAGTGAGACCCTATTTAAAAAACAAAACCAAACAAATGAACCAAAGTGGTACAAATCAATTGGAAGTGGTGGCATAGGTCTATAATCCCACGGTGGGGAGGGAGTATCAGAAGCCTTAGAGGGTGACCCTCCTTTCTGCATCACCCGCCATCTTGTCCCACCTCCACAGAAAAGATCGTAGTCTGTCTTGAACTGGAGAATTTTCCACTTAAGTCTCTTATAACATATGATATTTCATGCATATGGTACAGAAGTGCTTGTGACATCTCTAGGCCGATGATGATACAGTTGCTCCAGCACTTGCTATGTAGACTGCTGATAGCTAATAGGAATTTTGGGGCTGACTTTAGGTGAGCACTGCCTCAGGAGTGTAGGTAGCTGTGGAAGTATGTGAGCACCTGTCCAGATGTCCTTAATTGCAGGTCCTCAAGAAGTCTCTTGGACTCAAAGGAACCTGAGGGGAAACTGTGTGTACCTAGTAGATTCCTGAACTCAGAAAGGACCAGTGGACACTGAGCTTTACCAAGCTGAGTTGTTTTGGTTGAAATTTTCCCGTCAGAAAGTCAAGGCCCCTGGGATCTTTTGCCCTTACTCATGCCCTGCTTATGAGCTCTTACCATTTCTGATATCCCTAAATATCTGCCCACTGTGCTTCTTCAGCGACCAGGTTATTCTCTGGAGGGAAAGCACAAAGGACAGGAGGACCACACATGCTTGGAGCTGACAGTGGACACAACAAGGCACCTTCTGAGGAGAGGAGACAGAGGAATCTACAGGCCCAGAGGGGACTTTACAATGAGGAACAGTGTTGGGTCCATGGCAGGAGATGCCATGGGCCTCAGATGTTCAGTCTGGCAGTTAGGTGTGTTTTCCTCCAAACTGGTTACCACGTCTGAATGCATGATGACTTCAGAGGCTTCTGACTTCCCTGGCTGGGAGGTTCAAAGGTAGTAGAGTCTGGCAGCCCAGCAGGCAACAGCTGCTTCTCAGAACTGTTCTCCACTGGTGACTCGTGTCCTGATTGGAGGAGAGATAATGGCTTGGGCTCGACTAAATTACAGAAGAAGTATGTAGGCAGATCAGAGGCTGTGTTTTGTGAAGGGGGCGATGATATTTGGGAGAACTCATGGCCAGAAGTCAACTATTCTCCCAGTATGAAAACCAGAGTTCCCGGACTATCCTTCCTGGATACACCCTGGAGGTGGTGGTGGTGGATGATGATGAGATCCTAGGACCATCTGTGATGAGGCTGGAGGCAGAAGAGGTCTGAGAAGGTGACTGGTAAGGAAAAGGGGCTACAGAACAAGGAAGGAGGGGCTCAGGAAGGCAGAGATGGGAGAAAGAAAAGACAGGAGGCGGGACAAGGATGGGCAATGGATGGAAAACCTAGAGAGCAGGAAAGGGGTCAGGAGATGAGATCCAAGATGGACAGGGGAAGAGGTGACTCAGGCAGAGTCCCTCCCCTGGTGACTGAAAATGTCTACATGAGGAAGAGTTTATAGGGATGGGGTGAGGGGACAGTGGCATGCAGAACTGGGGACAGAGGAGATCAGCAAAGGTTGAGGATGGAACAATGGCTTTGGAGGGGACAATGGTAGAAGTTTTGGGATTTATTTGGAAGGTGAGAGTTGGAATTGAGATGGTCAAAGTCTGAATTTCAAAGAGGGAAGCTGAATAAACTTCCTACTTGGGTAGCACCCAGCCTCCCACCTCAGGCCTGTGCTCAGAAGAGGAAGATAGATTGGTCCCCAGAGTCTGAGGAAGAGCTGCGGGAAGACCTGATGGGTCTCTCTGATGGAGTCCCTGGGTTAGCACCTTACTTTCTGCCTCTGGCCTATGCCCAGAAGAAGCACAAGGAATCAGAGGCAGAGCAGGAGAAGAATCATCACCAGGGTGCTTCTGACTCACCCCAGAGAGGGAACCCCAGCCTCTTACCTTGGTCCTCTGGCCAGAAGTGGAAGAAGGAGTGGTCATTCCAGCCTACAGAGGAAAGGAGGGGGGAATACCCAGGTGCTTGATGTAACCCCATCAGGCTCCCACCTTGCAGGAGATGGAGGGATTCTCTCTCCAGGTTGCACAAGGTGTCAAGGGAACTAGTGGGGCAGCGGGGCCCTGTGCCCTCTACACAGATGGATGTCACAGAGAAGCTCTGTGGCCTCAAGAGGAAGAGAAAGGAAGCACCTGTCTTCAGTGCTGCCTGAGCACCACGCGGCCTTCACCAGGTTGGTTCTTAAGGAACACAGGAAATTTCTGGTCACTTCCTTCACCTATGGAAGGGAGTCTACCGTGAGTCTTGAGTTTACCATGCCTGGAGAACTCCGGTGCAATCCTCCCCCAGGGACATGCAGATGACAGAGGTGATACAGTCCTCAAAACATGTTCCCACTTGGGATCGCAAACCTTGGTTCCATCCAGCTCATCTGACATACAGCAATTACTGACCTGCCTGAATGGAAATGGTAGCAGCACCTGAGGGGCAACAGGGCCACAGGCACACCAGGATGTGATCGTCACAAAATGACGCAGATGCCTTCTGACTTCTGAGGTGATGCGTTCATGCGGCACAGGAGGCTACTGAAGTCTGCTTTACGGTCCAAACCAGGCAGAGTTGCTGCTACGCAGGCCCTGACTTAGCTGCTCCTCTGGGAGTCCCAGGGCTGGCCCCTGTGCCCTGCCTGGGGAACATTATTCTTCCTTCTCTTCCTATCTACCTGTCTCCGGCCCCATCCAGACCCTTCTCCCTAGCAGGCACAGTTCTGCTCCCTATTTTCTTGCTCCCAGGGACTCTTGCCAGGTCACAACCTGCCACCGGTTCTCTTCACAGAGGTTCTGGTCATCAAGAGATTCCTGGCCTGAAACATGAACCCGAGGGCTTCTGACAAGGTGAGGTCCTTCTCCCCTGAGCTGGGCTCTTGATGTGGTCCAGCCCATGGAGGGCCGGGGTCCGGCCCCACAGTTATTCTTCTGTCCCTGCCAGGAACTCCCACCTCACCCCGCAAACCAGCACCGTCTCCCATCCGGGCTTGCCTGGGCCTGGAGGCTGGATAGGCACAGCACCCTACTCTGCCTAGGTCCTCTGTGAACTGAGCCCAGGCCCCGTCTCCCTGCATACAGCTTCTCTGCCTGGGGCAGCATGGTGCTCCTGGTCCCTCCCCTCAGCTCTCAAGGAACCCATTTCTCTCACTTCAGAAATCCCCTTCTGATTCAACTGACCTCAGTGTCTGGTCTCCATTAGACCTTGGAAGAGCCACCCTGGGCATCATGGCCTCCTCATCTGCAAACACCTTCCAGCCCCTGACTTTCCCCAAATGACCAGGCCGCCCAACACTGGGGTGTCTTCTCTGACTGGGGCCCTGCTGCCCACTCCCAGTCCATGTCCCCACACCCCTCCTCCAGCTGTGCCTGCTCTCTGACCGTCCCTCCCCCCCCCCACCCCCCGGCAGTATCTCCTGGCCATGGTCATCGCCTACTTCAGCCGGGCCGGCCTCCTCCCCTGGCAGTACCAGAGGATCCACTTCTTCCTGGTGCTGTGAGTACTGCGCCTCCCCCCACAGCCACGGTCCGCCCCTGAGGGTGGGGAGGGGACTCTAGCCTGGCCTCTGGGTTTAAACCTCCCTGTCCTGGTGACTCTGTAGGACATGGGCATCACGCTACAGTGTGCTGATACTTCTCTGAGGAAACCTTGCAGTCTATGCTCATGTTGGTTAAAGGAAGCCACCAGGGAAAACAGAGCCTCAGACGGCAGAGGCAGGAAGAACCCATGTGTGGGCCTCAGCCCTCAGGCCCTGAGGGGAGCCATTTCTGAGCCTTCCAGGGTCTCTTTCTTTAGCTGTACCAAATGTCTTTTTGTCCCCTCCTCTGGGTTCCCAAGACCCATGCCCCATGCGTGCCCTCCTTATAGGCACGCACTGAGGGTAACGTGCGCCCTTCCGGTCTTTCTGACAAGTCTCTCCACAAGCCAGGCAGCCAGGGAGCGGCTCTGTGCTCCCTGATCAGCCTTCAAAGACCGGCCCACAGCTCACTTGCCTTTGGTTACTGCATCTCCAAGTACTTCACCCTCACCAAGGCTGGAGGTGTCCCCTGGAACTCACCCACTGTACAACCTCTGCACACCCAAGCCACCTCATCATCTTGTATTTCTTTCCTTTCACTGCTCCTGCAAATACTCTTCTGTCTTCATCCTGTTTTCTGTCCATGTCCTCACAAACTGAACCTGAATAAAAGTATGTATCTTCAAGTTGGTCAAAATATCCAAACCTGGATCGCTGTGGTGCTGCACACTTACATTCCTGGCCACTCAGGATGCTGTGGGGGTTGGATTATTTTAGTCCAAAGGTGAAGCCCAAGGGTTCAAGGTCAAGGGCAACTATGATCACTGTATTCTGGGAAACTTGAGATAGGAGAATAGCAAGTTTGAGCCAGGCCTGGGCAACTTAGTAAGATAATAAGAACCTGTTTCCAAAAGAAAAATTTTTAAAAAGCAGTGGGGATGTAGATCAAGAACTCTGTGTTCAGTATCCAGTACTACAAATAAAATAATAATACTCCACACTCTGTGCCTCCTTCCCTGATCTCCCATTTTGCATTCCAATAGCACTGTCCTCAAATCCCTTCTGACAGGACATTTCAGATTCCACTTCCTGGTTTCCCCTCCCTCTACCTAAAATCCCCTTCAGGGAGACAACTGCTGAGGGCTGGGTCTTGCATTCTTAAAACAGCAGCTCAACCCTTTTCATTTTATTTTCTGTTACAACACTGAGTCCGTGGGAGACTGTTATGGTTTGTGTCTAGATGCTCCCCCAACAAAGCCTCATGCAGTCATGGGGCAGGCTTCTAGAGTTTATGATTGATCCATGGTCCAATGCTGGGATTATGGGTGTGGTCTACACCCACCCTAGGGTGGGTAGCCTCCATACAGTATAAGGGAGGGAAAGAGGTTTGCTCTCTGCTGCTCCTTCCTTTTGCTCTTGCTGCTTTAGCTGTTTTCTGCCGCCATGAACTGTTGCCCTCTGCCATGTGCCACTGTGCCTTGGAGCCAGCCACGTATGGACTGAAACCTCCACAAACTGTGAACTAAATAAACCTTTCCTTCCTTAATTTTGGGGGTCAGGTATTTTGTCTCAGCAATGAGAGAAAAGTAACCAAGACAGGGATACACCATGGCCTTTGTCTGCAGATAAAAGCTGGCATTTATTCCTTCATTCATTCACTCACTAAAACTTTCTGCAGTGCATCCTCTGCCAGGGATCTTAGCAATGGGCAGGGACATGTAGGACTCACTGGTGGAATTCGTGCACACCCTGAACCAAGCCCTGTGGTGGCCACTGGGGAGGAGAGGGAAGAGCACAGAAACATACCGTCACCCTATGCAGATGCTCCCCATGGGTCAGGAGGCAGGTGGGTGCACAGAGGATGATCTGCAGGGAAAGGAGAGGATGGAGGCGGGGAGATGGTGCTGTCAACTTCATCTCGTGACGGGCAGGAGGCCACCTGAGGCTCTACACCGGGGTCCTGTCTTCATCCCTTATTAGGGAGGCACTTTCACAAGGGCCCCTAGAGCCTATGCCTCTGCACTCAGGCCTGGTCCTCGGGAGCACTGTTGAGCTGATGGCATCCTGAGCTGGAGGGGCCCGTCTGTCCTCCCTGGGAGCTGACTCAGGGCCCAGCTCCTTCCTGGTTGTGCCCCGACCAGCACCTTGCTTTCTTTCCTAGATACCTGGCCATTGACATGGAAGAAGACGACCAGGCTTCTAAACTAGAACTGTTATTCTTCCTCTATGGGAGCATCTTTGCTAAGATTCCCCAGTTCCAGAAGCTGCGCTACCAGTTCATTTGCTGCATGGGCTGGGACCCTCAGAGTGACTGAGAGGAGTGTGAGGTGGTGGCTGGGACTGGGCCGACAGGGACGGACTGGGCTGGGACAGACGGGAACAGGAGATTGGGGACGGGTGAGCACGAAGAGCTGGAGGCTGGCTATGGGGTGGCATCACTGCAACTCGGCATCCACTCAGGGGTTGCTTTCCTTTCCAGATCCAAGCTTATGATCCTGTGCTGTGGGTGTGGGGGGAAGATCACGCCCTCATTCTGTGGACCCTGAAGACCTGAGGACAGTGGCCTCAAGAAGGTTGGTGAGAGTCCCAGGGTTCAGAGAGCACCACTGCTGCCTATGTAGGGAATGCAGGGAGCCCATGGGAGGCTCCTCTCATGATCCCCCCACCCGGTCCACCATCTACACATCTGGAACCAGCCCAGCCCCAGGCACAAGGTCGGTCCCTCCCTGTCTCCTCCATAGCCAACCAACCTGACAAGCAGACAACACAACCTCAGAGAGATGTCTTGGGTGCTGGGACAGTGCAGTAAGACCTCACAACCAAACAAAAACAAAACACTGTCTCAGAGGCACAGATTCGGTAGGGATTATTTAATTCAGAGCAACTTGGTCCAAATGACACTGCAGATTAAATGCTGATTTTTGTCCCCAGTGAATACCGACTAGATATAAATTTCCATTTCTTCTTCTAAAAGTTGTTTCTACTGTCATTTATTGAGGGGCTATAGTCCCATAGGGGTATCATTCAGAATTTAGTTACACTGAAGTAAATGAAGGAGGAGGTATCAGCTAGAACAGGCTACATATTCAGAAATGGAAGAGAATTAGCCTATGTGCTCCTCTTAGTTCATATCCACAGTGCTTCTGGCCTGAGCACCCCTGGGAGATCTTCCCGTACCCTGTGCCACTGCGTCTGGAAGAATTTCTCCTCTTGAATAATTACCCATCTTCAAACTTAGGGTTATAGGTATTTATCATTATGATGGCAGATTGACAAATATGAGCTCCAGGGTGGCACCTTGCTGTTAACACATTACAGTATGGGTTTGCACAGATGAGTAGGCAAAGATTTAAATTACATGCAATCAGCCAAATTTAGGAGCAAACATGTTGGTGACATATAAGGGAATGGGATTAGGGATTCAGTATGTGGTTTCATGGTCATGATGCTGATAGATTTATTAGTTATGTTTATAGTGTGGTAACAAGTGCAGATATGAAGGGAAAAAAACCAAAAATGTGACTGCACAGAAAACACGCCATCTTCTCCAAGGGCACTCTAGACTCTAAGCACAATCACCTCAAGTCCTCAAAAAGCAGGAAGCTGAGTCTAACCTAAAGCCTCTTTTTTTTGGAATGGGGTACAAAAATTCTGAACCACAACTGGAAATGAGGGCTCAGGATTGGAGTTAAGAATGAAGGATTAGAGATAAAGTTGGATTTGTAAATTGACTGGAACTAGTTGGGAGTGACTTCATGTGTCAGTCTTTTCATCTAAATAACTGACCCCATGAAGACTGACATGCTCTCTCTCCCCCACTTCCAGATCTCTGGGCCTGGGGAAGATGAGCTATTTCAGCACAAAGACCATGTTGACACTAATCACAGCCTAGGGATGGATTAGAGAAGCCTCTTGTTTGGATAATCTAGAAGAATCCAGACTTTTCTAGAAGAACCCAAAGAGAATCAGTGTATCATACTTCTTCCTAGAGCTGTGGAGTCCATGGAGGCATAATGAGCAACCAAAGTTTTTGGGCTCAGCTTCTAAATTTTACATTCCTAATTCCAGTTGCTGTTGAGGTGAAGTTGCAGGTACAGCTGTCTTAGTTACTTTTTGTTGCTGGGACAAAATATCCAACACCCTCAAATTAAAGGAGGAAAGGTTTATTTTGGCTTACAGTTTACAGAAGTTTCAGTCCATAGTCAGCTCGCTTCAAGGCAGGACATGATGGAAGAGGCAGAGGCAGTAGCAGCAACAGCAGCAGCACCATCACCACCAGGAACCCCAGCTTCTTTGTTCCTTTATATTCCACCCAGGCTACAAGTCTGTTGATTGGTGCCACCCACACCCAGGGTGTGGCTTCCCATTACCCACATGCAGAACAGCACTAAACCGATCAGTAAACTAATCCAACTATCACATCCTAATCCACATTCACACACCCTACATCCACCACCTCTGAAAAGCCCCACTTCTAAATGCATGAAGCTTTGGGGGATACCTACATACAAGCCGTAACAGCCATTTTTGATATATTTGGTTTCCACAGTCTTGAAATCAATTGATGGGGACCTGTAGAGGGCCAGGTTGGGAAGCAATTATTTTTAAAGTTTAATGTGAAAGTCACAGCAGTGTCACAGTTTGCTTTAATACACAGTATAAATTTTATTGATTTATTTTGAACGTTTGACATAGAAATATTACTGTACTATAGTGCTATACTATAATTCTGTGATATAAGTATTTATATCTATCTTATAAATCTGTTCTTACAATGCTCAGTGTTGGATATTTCAAGTGAGAGATAAATATATATATTTTTTCTTTTAAGAGATTTTTTTCTTTTTACCTATTGTACTTATACATCCATTATATTTATAGCTAGGTATTGCTATTCCCTAACTTTTGTAAATAGAAATGCTTACAGGATGTCTGTTCTTCATCATTGAGTTGTGAACACTGAGCTTGACTAGTGTGTCTGATACGGGACTGAAGATAGGCCATGCATCTCAGGAAAATAAAAGGAAGATGAACTGTCTTCTCACCTTCCTGCGTGTCAGTCTGAATTGCTTATTTGCTGTCAAATGGGATTTTTTTCTCCTCAGGGGGCTGTGGCTATTTGACCAAACTTCTTCACTCTGAAAAAGAATCCAATGACATGACATCGCCTACTGATGTTCTAGCTCTCACAGCTGGGTGAAGAGCTCCCTGTAGGTTGTTTGCACAATGACAATTTCAGCAAAAGACTCATTCCTCAGAGCACATCCCCATCATTATTTCCTCATGCCTGACCTCAATGCCAATCAAGCCTGCCCTTTACAAGAATTGGAAAGTGCTTGGCACAGCGGCCCCACCTGGAATCCCATTACTCTGGGGGCCCTCAGCAGGCACACTGCATATATAATATAACGACAGATGGGCTGATTTCCACAGAAGACCGAAGGATTCAATTTAGGGAAAAACAGTTTATTGAATTTAGACCAGTCGCTGTACATCCCCGACTAGCAGGTCAGGGAACATCTTTGTTTCAACTTTAAATACACCTTTGGTTTCTATGCTAACAGACTGGAATATTGCAGCCATTCACACAGGTGGCCACGCATTGTTTTTCTTGTCCCATGTGACTGGGTCAGGACCAGTCATGAGCCCAACCACAATGATATATACTTTCCACACTCTGTTCTGTATGTCCCCCTTTAGATAACCACACATTTCCTTTATGGTTACAATGTTTATCTAGGGCCAGGGAAGGGATGAAACAACCCAGGCAAGGTCATACATGGTTATCTAGGCCCTAGTGTTCTCTGTCCTTAATGAAACATACTAGGGCAAAGTTAATCCCTCCGGGATGTTTCTCAAGACACAACTGAGGCTTGTATTAAGACTAAGACTAAGACTAAGACTACTCTAATTTAAGAATCGTATGCTAAGAGTCACCGTCCCCGACAATATAAGCCCAGCCTAAAGGAAAGTCGAGTTTGGACAGATCAAAGTCTGCATTTTGTAGAGTGGACGGCTCCTGTGAGCACTCTGACCACTTGGCAACCTTCTTCCAAGTCTGGGTCCAGAGTCCCCAGACTAGCTCCTCAAGGTAGGTATGGCCTGGAAGTGGTGTGGATGATTAAATCCTAGGCTCATAAGGTGAAGGGCTGAAGAGAGAAGAGGTCTGAGAAGGTGACCAGTAAGGAACAAGGGCTACAGAAGGAGAAAGGAGAGAATCAGGAAGACAGAGATGGAAATGGGAAAGGACACAGGGGAGGGGGGGACGGACAAGAATAGTCAATGGATGGAAAACTTGTAGATCAAGGAGGGGGTTAGAAGATGAGATCCAAGAATGAATAAGGGAGAGCTGACTCAAGCTGTGATGGCTGAGTGATTGTGTCAACTTGAGAAGTTTAATTAAGAGAAGCTTAACTAGGCCAGGTGTGGTGGCACATGCCTGTAATCCCAGTACTCAGGAGGCTGAGGTAGGAGGATCATTACAAGTTTGAGACCAGCCTGTGCTACAAAGTGAGCTCAAGGTCAGCCTGAAGTGCATAGTGAGACCCCGTCTCAAAAAGACAAAAAAAAGAGAAGCTTAATTAAACTGGTCAGCAATTCTACACCCTAAAGTATATAAGACCCACTCTAGGGCAGGTCATCACCTGGATGGTATAAAGGGAAATGAAGAAGGGTAGATCATCTTCTGTTTCTTCAGATGAGCTCCAGTCTTCGCCTTCCCCTTGGAGATCATCTCTTGGCTTTCAGCGCAGATTCTTCAGCTTCCAGCATGGATCCTTCAGCCTTTTGGCATAGACTCTTCAGCCTTCCATTGCAAACCCATCAGCGTCCTGATACAGACTTGCACAGGACACTGCAGTGAGCTCCAGACCTTGGACTGAATCCTTCAGTTTCCAGCATGCAGCACTCCACCCTCTGCACTCTTCTTCATCTGACTCTGTAGGTGACCACTGTAAGGCAATCTTGTAAATTCTTATACATTTGTGAATCTTGTTTCTCTAGTAAAACACCAACTGGTACACAAGCACAGGTCCCCCCACTATATGGGAGGAGAGTTTGTAGACAAGGGAAGAGAGATGACAAGGAAAACTGGGTGGAGATAGATATCAGCAAAGATTAAAGATGTAACAATTGCTTGGGAGGGGATAACAGTGAAGTTTAGTGTTTGGGGAAGGCAGAGTTGGGCTTAGGTGATCAAAAGCTGAATTCTAAAGACAGGCTTCACATCCACCCTGTGTTTCATTCCTTAGGGCTGTGTATAGCACCCAGTCTGTGGCCTCAGGCCTACGGCCAGAGATGAAGACGAACTGGTCTTCATTTGCCCAGAAGGAGCAGCAGGAGAACCAGGCTGATCTTTCTGATCAAGTCCCTCAGTTAGCACCCTACTTCCTGCCTCAGTCCTCAGGGAGCGGGGGGTGGGTAGGAGGAGAAGGAAGAATAGGAGGAAGAGGAGGAAGACCGAGAAGGGGAGAATGAAGAGGAAGAAGAAAAAGTGAGATGGGGAGGAGGAAGACCATGGGGAGCAAGGGGTTGGTTTGACTCAGGTCTCAGAGGTGACCCCAGCCTCCCACATCTTTCCTCTGGCCAGAAAGAAGTAGGAGTAGTCATCAGAGTTGGAGGAGAACTCACACAAGGACATGTCTGGGTTTTTTGACTTCTCTATACCACAGAACCTGATACAGGGGGTTGGGAGGTCTAGGAAACACTACTGAAATTCATGCACCCCAAGTCACTCAGTGTTGGTCACTTGAGAGGAGAGGGCTAAATACACAAAGAAACCCCTGAATAAATACCTCTCCCTGATGCTCCTCAGTTGTGGGGAGTCACGAGTGTGCACAGAGAATAAGGTCCTGGGAAGGAGGAGGATGGAGGCAGGGAGATGGCGGTATCACCCACACAGGACTCCTTGGGGCAAAAAGGTATAGCTGCTTCCTTGACCAGAACAGGCATGACCACCTACAGGCCAGAAATGAGCTAAAAAACTCATCCACAGAAAGGAAGAACCTGGGTGAAGGGAGCCCAGAAGGCAGAGGTGTTAGAGGGGAGGGGTGTTGTAGGGCTTAGAAAACTGCTTAATCAATAAACCATGTAAAATCACCAATGTTGCAACAACAAATGCTAAATACCTAAATGGGTACAAAACTGCACCCATACCTTATACCACAAAAGAATAAACTCCACCTGGGTCAGTGATCTAAATGTGAGAAGTCCAACCATACAGAAAAAAACAGGTGACTGACTCCATAACCTTGATGTGGGGAAAGGCTTTCCAACTGTGACTCACGTATATAAAATGCAGAGATGTTAGGACTTCTGTTTTCTTCCATGACTGACACCACACGCACACACACACATACATACATGCACATACACACACACACAAATTGTTCAAAGATTGGTTTTCAAGAACACTAACCAGGGCCAGGGAAGTAGCTCAGCCACACAGCACCTACCTGGCAAGTGCGAGGCCTGGAGTTCGATTCCCAGTTCCAAAAAAAAGAAACGCTAACCAGTAGGCAGTGAAAGATGGTAATCCATGAGGGATGGGAAACTAGCTAAGCCTGACAACTACTGGCTAAGAGTTTCCAGGCTATGACCAGAGAAGAAGAGAGACAGGTGATGAGAAAGAGTAGAGAGATCAGGAAAAACAGGACAGAAAACAGAATCTACACAGAAGAAAATAACCAGTTAATCAAAACTGGCCCAGAACATACACAGTTGATACACAGATGTTACAATTAGCGGAGACCACTGAAAGTTTGTCACTGTATTCCCTAAGTTCAAAAAACTTGAGTATAGTCAGGCAAGGTAGAAAAGGTTTCAAATTGAACTTCTACAGGAGAAAGTCTAATACCTGAGATGAAATTTTACTGGGTAAATGTTTAAGTACAAAAGAGCTAAAAGAAGTACTCACCAACTAGAAATGTTAAAGTCCTGAAGGCAGAAGTACAACGACAGCAAATTGTGGATCCACACAAAGGAGAGGATGAGAAATGAGGACTATGTATTTTGTCTCATTATTTATTATGAGGTAACCAACTGTTTAATTTAGAAATATGGTACCTATAAAAGTTAAAATGCAACAACAGTACGAAGACCAAAGTTGGAGGGAGAAATGGGAATATCCTATTGTATGCTCTTTATATTCTGGGTAGAACAGTCTATAAAGTACTTTTGAAGACCAACTGTGATAAAGTAACATTGCACACTGTAAATCCTAAGCACCTACTAGAACAGCAAAGCAGTGTTACACCTAACAAAACAGAGGATTACAATGGGGTTGGAAAAAAACCAGGCATGGTGGTACAGACCTGTAACTCTAGCACTCTGGTCTGGGCTCAAATGTGCCAGTCCTCCTACCTCCCAGAGCCCTAGGCTTCCTAGTACCTTAGGCCTCCCTGAGCCCTAGGTTGCTGTCATAAGCTACCACACCCAGTGAATGATTTCTTCCAATGGTAACTACAATATCTGTAAGGTGTATTGTTTTCTTTTGGCCATGACTGTCAAGAACATCAGAGCCAGGTTTATCGAAAACTGGGTTAAAGAACCCTAAGTTATTGCAGGCTGATCAGGCCCGAAATCTCCCAAGCGAGTGGACGGCGAAGGCTTAAATAAATGAGACAATGGCAATGATTTTAGGGCTCCAGGAGGGACTAACTCTCTTACAGCTTTAGTATTCTCTGAGTTTAGCCAAAGACTTCTCTGGTTAGCCCATATTTATTTGGTTTACAAACAAAGGAGGAGGATACTCAAGAAAAGGTGGGAATCTGGGCAGGACTTTTTCAAGTAATACATTATGTTAATTAGGAGAACTATGTTATCTCCCGGAAGGCCTTTGCAGCAGGAGTGAGATGCCTGCAGCTGCAGTCTCCCTGTAGTTAATTGGGGTGGCAGACAAGGTGCCTAAGCTTCAGACAACTCACAAATAAACACGGAAAGCCAGTTGCTTAATATTAAATCCAGCTCAGAGCCACTTTGTAGTGGTCCCCAACACAGGTTTGCTGTTTAACTTCATCAGCGCTAAAGTACTTACACAAAAGACTTG